TTGGCATGGAGGTTAGTCATGATTAGTAGATGACCCGTATTGATTTTGAGGTCACTAGGTCAAAGGTCAAGGTCACAGGGGCCTTGACTTCAAAAAGCTTGTCCGCCCAATAACTTAAGATTCCTTTGACCCACAGTCTTCATATTTGGCATGGAGGTAAGTCATGATTAGTAGATGACCCCTATTGATTTTGAGTTCACCAGGTCAAAGGTCAAGGTCACAGGGGCCTTGACTTCAAAACACTTGTCGGCCCAATAACTTAAGATTTCTTTGACCCACAGTCTTCATATTTGGCATGGAGGCAAGTCATGATTAGTAGATGACCCCTATTGACTTTGAGGTCACCAGGTCAAAGGTCACAGGGGTCTTGACTTCAAAAAGCTTGTCCGCCCAATAACTTAAGATTCCTTTGACCCACAGTCTTCATATTTGGCCTGGAGGCTAGTCATGGTAAGTAGATGACCCCTATTGACTTTGAGGTCACCAGGTCAAAGGTCAAGGTCACAGGGGCCTTGACTTCAAAAAGCTTGTCCGCCCTATAACTTAAGATTCCTTTGACCCACAGTCTTCATATTTGGCATGGAGGTTAGTCATGATTAGTAGATGACCCCTATTGATTTTGAGGTCACCAGGTCAAAGGTCAAGGTCACAGGGACTTTGACTTCAAAAAGTTTGTCTGCCCAATAACTTTAGATTCCTTTGACCCACAGTCTTCATACTTGGCATGGATGTTGATCATGATTAGTAGATGACCCCTTATGATTTTGAGGTCACTGGATCAAAGGTCAAGGTCATAGGGACTTTGACTTCAAAAAGTGTGTCCACCCATTAACTTAAGATTCCTTTGACCCACAGTCTTCATATTTGGCATGGATGTTGATCATGACTATAAGGTGACCCCTATTGATTTTGAGGTCACTGGGTCAAAGGTCAAGGTCACAGGGACCTTGACAAAAAAAAAGCTTTTCTTCTTAATTGCTAAAGAATGTCCTGTCCGCAATGTATTGATTTTGACATTTTCACATTTGAAGCATGTATAATACATAACTTAGCAATGCACTGGCTTAGTAACCTCAGATTTGGCAGGGAGGTTGTCCTTGAGCTCTAAATGGCCACTGTTGATTCTGACAAAGTGGTATGCGGGGGTATTCACGCCATGATAGTGGCAGTTCTAGTTTTCCCTCCTAATAGGTTTTTGCAACTTCTCATTAAGACATGCAAATTACTTATTAGATTTTAGACATTAAACCGTCACACCATCACAGTAAGCTTCACTGCTGGAGATCGACTTCTAACTTGAGAACCACTGACTAAAAGCTAGCTGGATAGCTTCATAACATGAACAAATCCCAAGTACCTGGCAGGATTTGAAAACACATTGGTGAAGGGCAAGTACACGGAAACTAGTCTAGTTATAAATTTGCAAAAGTACGCAAAGCTATACACTTAGAAGATAAGTAATATATGCACTTAACGTGTAGCGTAGTTGCAAACTATACTCTTTTATTCAATGTTTTCTTATATATTTTAATTGAAAACAAAAAAGGACATTCAAAGTGAATTTTTCTATGAAGGAAACTATGCAAGGATAATAAATAATATTATTTTCCTGCTAAATTGGAGACAAATAAAAACACCCCACACAAACTGATGATATTCAGAGGAGAGGACAATTGCTTTAAAGACTGTCAGTTTGTGTTACTTGAAATTTACTTTGTTTTCGACATAGAACATTGTTTATTGTTCATGTTTTTAAGACTCTCTTAGCACTTTGTATTTTGAGAGTAAAAAGAATTTAAAAAAGAAATTTTTAGGAAAATAATTTTATTTTCTGGGAGAAATTTTAGGAAGTTATCCTTAAGTCACCTGTTATATCAATAAAATTATATAGTGATATGAAGTTTAATATATAGACAGCAAACAATGTTGATGTTGTTATGCCTCATAGCCACTGTTATACCTTTCGGTCTTGTTGAAGGCCGAACACAATGCTGGGCGGCCCAGCACCGCCAGGTAATGAATGCCTGTCAGTATATTGTAAAGTAAAGCCTTCATATACCATAAACATCATGTAAAGCAATTGTACCAGAAATTCTTTTAGATTAAAATTAGTTGTAATATGCATATCATGCTATGAAAAGAGAAGAGAGGTAACCATGTACGTTATGTTGGAAATTATTGCACTCTAGACATTTGTAATATGGAATGTGGAGTTGTCCCCCTTATAAGTTAAAATTGTAAATTAGTCAATGATGAAGAAATAAACTAAAACAGTAAAACAGCATTAACAGTATTACAACCACCACTGTATATAAGAAGGTAACTTAGTTATATAATATATATATATGTACCTTAAAACTTATTGCTAACATGGACATCAATAAACAGGTCTTATACTTGTTTATATATGTATATAGTCAAAATATTGAAGTTCTGTACAACGTAGTTTTTTTTTTGTTCTGGGTCAGAAGCTCGCTTAAAGGGGAGATATTGTTCATACACAAAATGGCACAATATCTCAATGCAAAGTGCACTTAGTTGGACTAAGATGTACATCACTGAACATATCAGAAATTTATCCACACCATAACTGTGGGAAGTTACATATTGCTACCGTTTCCGAGTTCTATACCACTACATCCTGTTCTGTTTGTCAAGTTACTGTCAACTTCTCCTTGAAATGCAGTCCTTATTGCTTAAACATGGGCCTTAAACTAACGTTTTCAACATGGTCATGAGCTCTCCTCTGTAAAAGCTTAATGTTATTGTCAATTGAATACTTAATATTGACAGCTTTGTATTGAATCTCTGCCATGCATGCTTCCTGGATGTCTGTAGGGAATAATTCCCTGAATCTTGGAAGAAATAACTCTGAAATCCTAAAGAAAACTAGAAATGTGTCCATAGGACACGGATGCCCCCACATGCCACTGTTCTGTCAATCTTATGACTCTAGGTCAAATATTTTTTAGACTATATGTGCCACAAGTTGAAAACTAAAAAGCAACAAAGGGCCATAATTCTGTTAAATTTGGTCGCAGCAAAAATTCCTTCCTTTACTACCATCTACACATTAAGGTTGTTCATCCCTGGAAGTTTAAGCAAAATCTGCCATCCGGTTTAAGAGGAGTTGCGTTCACAAAATTTCTACATAGTATATAGTGAAAAAATCAACAAAGGGCCATAATTCTGTTAAATTTGGTCGCAGCAAAAATTCCTTCCTTTACTTCCATCTACACATTAAGGTTGTTCATCCCTGGAAGTTTAAGCAAAATCTGCCATCCGGTTTAAGAGGAGTTGCGTTCACAAAATTTCTACATAGTATAAAGTGAAAAAATCAACAAAGGGCCTTAATTCTGTTAAATTTGGTAGCAGCAAAAATTCCTTCCTTTACTACCATCTACACATTAAGGTTGTTCATCCCTGGAAGTTTAAGCAAATTCTGCCATCCGGTTTAAGAGGAGTTGCGTTCACAAAATTTCTATATGGTATATAGTGAAAAAATCAACAAAGGGCCATAATTCTGTTAAATTTGGCCGCAGCATTAATTCCTTCCTTTACTACCATCTACACATTAAGGCTGTTCATCCCTGTAAGTTTAAGCAAAATCTGCCATCCGGTTTAAGAGGAGTTGCATTCACAAAATTTCTACATAGTATATAGTGAAAAAATCAACAAAGGGCCATAATTCTGTTAAATTTGGTTGCAGCGAAAATTCCTTCCTTTCCTACCATCTACACATTAAGGTTGTTCATCCCTGTAAGTTTAAGCAAAATCTGCCATCCGGTTTAAGAGGAGTTGCCTTCACAAGATTTCGGGACGGACAGACGGACGGACAAGTGCAACGCTATATGCTCCCACATTGTGGGGGCATAAAATTTCAGAAAGCCTGCATTAAACTAGAACTATCACTGAGCTAGTCTCTAGGGAATTCAAAGGTCAGTCATACTTAAATAACTTCACATGACGGTCTTCTGTCCAAGATCAAATTTGCTTATAAATAATTACCATTATTTTATGAAAATACATTTTGATTTTCTAGTTCCTTTGATGTCAAGGTCAAACATGAACTACTCCACTTGATAGTTTGATCCTAGGTATTGGTATGGATGTATCAATAGTGTAGCTAAATTCATTGATTTAAATTGACCTTTACAATCAAGGTCACTTGGTGGAGGAGTTGTTTTGACTTTCCTTAAATGAAAAAGGTGGCCAATTTATCAGAAATAAATTGTACCATTAAGGTCCAACTTGAATGTATTTTAAAAGTATGAATACAATACATGTATTAATAACATTTATTACCAATTAGAGCCAATTTCAGCAGAAATCAAGGAGTTAACCTTGAAAGTGAAGGTCATTTACAAGTGAAGATCAACTTTCTTGCAATATTCACAAGTAGATTTCATGTCAATTACTCCCATGAAATATCAAAATTGGTTTCAGAGAAACACACACAAATAGCCAGACAACTGAACAGACAGCCTCAAATGAGTACAGCTTTTGATAAGTGGGGATATAGTAATTCTCAGAACCCTGGAGCAAATAATTCCATGAAGTCATCAAGCTAGCTCATTCAAGTAACATGCCAGACCCTAAGAATTGCATTTAGCCAATTTAACATGAATAAAGTCCTACGAGTTTTATGGAACACAGTAATCGACCAAATTCAATGGCAACATTTATGATTTTGTGACAGAGGAACACCTTATGCCCCCCTACCATCCATTACAAAAGCAGGAACTAAAGTAGAGCCATCAATCTTCCATTTCCCACCTGATTAGCTTCTCTGCATAAAGGAATCCAAAATCGACTTTGAATCCACATCATTGATGGCACAGTCCACATCATTGAGGGCACAATTGACATCATTGAGGGCTAAAACCACATCATTGAGGGCACAATCCTCATCATTGAGGGCACAGTCCTCATCAATGAGGGCACAGTCAACATCATTGAGGGTACAGAGATTTAGAAGAGCTAAATGCAAAACAAAATCAAAAAGTGGCAACAATTTATTTTGAGTCATTTTTTACAGATACAATATGTTTCAAATGCAAAGGAAAGTAAAATAGTAAAAGAAATAGTATATTTCATAAAATGTAGATACATGTACATGTATAAAATATTCCCCAGTCAGTATCATAGATATTGAATGTTATATAGTACCTATAACAGGCATTTTCAACAATAAAGTTAATTAAATAAATTAAATGCCCAAATTCAGCTGCTCACATGGTTAGTGTTTTAAATCCTGCCCAAAAGACCAATCCATGAAACAAAACACAATAATGTAAAAAACAGTCAATATCTTAGGAACAAATTTATATGCACTTTACTGGTACATAGAAACAGACCAGAAGTTCAACAGATTATCTGGTGCATATGTGTAAGGCTATTTTCTATTTATCATTCCATTGTTCACCGACAATTGCCCCAAATCCCCGTTATTCCTATTACAACCCAATCTGATTAAATCCTAAAATTCAAAAATGGCCGCCATGTTTTAAAATTTGAACATGAGCAATGAGTACCAGTAAATACATTGTGCCAATATCTTGTCAAGACATTCAAAAATCAACTTTGGTTAAGCCAAAGATGCTGCACTTAGATAACAATGAACAATCAATTTGTTTCAAGGCTTACACTGCTAAATTCATATAAAAGACTTGTCCTGCTTTGCATTTGGAACAGTCCAAGTTGAGTATAAGGGATTACAGTATCAAATGCTAAAAATTTAGCAAAGCAATTGAGCACAGTGGAGTTTTTAAATATCAGACTGGCCTGCCTCTTAAATGGTGACTATAGATAAATCTTTCTTACTGCCAGAATATAACAGAAGTAAAGTTCTTGATCACATTTCAGATTCTTAGTGTAAAACAAGTATTAGTAAATAGTCACTTGAACTTTTGTTAATTATGGCTCAAAATTGCTTTTTTGATTCTAAATAATTTGATCAACCAGATTTAACTTTTACAAAATTTGTTCACTGACAAAGATCACTTTCAATGTTCAGTGAATTAGCCATTTGTTCATCACATCAACAATGTTTCATAAAATGTCCTGCACACAAATTAATAAGACAAAACAACATTGTCATACTTTCAATTGATCATACTTTTGAGACATCAAAAATTTAAAAACAAAAAAAGATGCGAGAAGAAAAAGGTATGACATCAAAAAGAAACTTTCTTATACAGTATAGGTAAAACACCTGTAATCTGTCCATTTTAATTCCGGTTAGTTGTGATTATAAATTCATAAATATAAGTCTTTTTGCATTAACACCACATTCAAATCTTTATTCAACATGTTCCCTACAGTTATATATACATTGTATACATTTATGTCCTTTCATCTACATTACGAATCATTCTACCACTCACTTCAAAGCTACACAACACAGAGAATTATTATAAATGAGTAAATTGTATAATTATTACTTTTGATGAAGATAATTTTTCAAAAAAAAAATAAAATAATCCCTAAATATAATCAATCAATTTAAGGCTTATTTAAGATGGACATGGTCATGAAGTCTTCATAAGTGACTGTGATTCGACCCGTTCTTTGTGGATCGCGCGCCACGAACATATCTGTAAGAGATTTTATCATCACACAGCACTGGATAAAGTCGTCCAGTTTCATGCTACGCCGACCTTGGATGTCAAACTTACAAACACACATCTGCATGAACTGTGGTGACAAGTTATATCCCATGGACGATAATGCTGGAAAGAAAAAGTGAAACATGTAATAACAAGAACTCTGTGACAAAAAAATTCACTCATACAATAACATGTAATAACAAGAGCTCTGCAACAAAAAATTCACTCATACAATAACATGCAATAACAAGAGCTCTGTGACAAATGCTAAGAGAAAAAATACGCAACTAATTGTATGATTACAGTCTTTGTCCATCACCAATTTAAATTTCATTATTTCAGTGTATTCCTATTGTTAAATCATCACAGGCAATAAAAACCAAATATTGAGTGGCCATTGTAGGTAGAACAGTAAACAAGCATATTTTTAATACTTTAAGGGTAGAGTCACAAGAATGCACAATAGACCAAGTTTTTCACAACTCTTCACAGCATTTTGACAGAGTAATGCCGCCCTTTTTACTTACAAACTGTGTTATATCCTGTTCCAATAGGCTGATTTTACCTTACTGTTACAGGAATCTGTTACTGAAACTTCTGAAAATATATCAATAAAACACTTCCAAATATATAATTTTACCTTGGTGTAATTCATTAGATTCTATTTGCCCAGTTCTATTTCCATCAAATCTTTCAAACACACCCTTCCATTGTTGAATGTAGTTCCATAAAGCTTGGAATTCATTAAGCTCAATCTGCCCAGTATGATCTCTGTCAAACATTCCTGTTTTAATTATAATATAATCAAATACAGTCAGTACTCATTACAACGACACTGTTGGTTCCCAAAGGATATGTCAGTATATGGAATTTGTCAGTATATTGAATTTCATTATTCATAATATTGTAATTGTAATGATATGCTTATTCACTGGTATCTGAACATTATGTATTTAGATCTATAATAAACATCTAAAGTGAAACAGACGGACGGATGCCAAGGGGTATAACATAATATGCCCAAAATTCTTATTAATATCACTTTGTGTAACATCCTTTTTACTTTCTTTCTATGAAATGATTTCGTATTTTTGTTCAAAAGTTAAATTAGTCTGTTGACGTTGAGCTGGAGGTTCTGCCATTTTTTTAATAAAAAAGCCACAAGTTGGCAAGTGTAACAAAATTCAGCTGACAACAACACGTTGGTATTGTAATAAGGTGTAACAATCAACTGACCAAGGTACAATACCCGTTTTAACACATTGCAGCTTTTGTTCTAGGCTCAATGATAAGCGCGCTTGACTGACCAAGTGTCAGTTTAACGGGTACTGATTGTATAGAAAATAACAGGTTTGGTTACCAATTTTATTGTGTCGGAGTCGGAATACGAATTTTCCGTTATAACGGATAATAATAACGTTGAAAAAGTTTGGTTCCCACCAATTCACTGTCGTTATTTGAATTTGTCAGTATAATGGATTCCGATGTATTGAGTCCTGACTGTATTGTAAAATCAGACATTTTTGTGAGGCCAAACTTTTGCAAAATCAACAGATCAGTCAAATTGGTGAGGCTGATTATACACAACTTTCTGCTTTGAATTCTCTTAGATTTACATGATACTTAGATACATGTTTGTTAGCAAACATCTCCAAAATGTGAAATAAGCGAAATTTAATCTTTTGTGATTTTTTTTTTTTTAACATAACAGCAAAACAGAAATCACAGACACACCTTACTGTTACATTGCATATAATCACAAGGAAAAATTTCAAAAGCTATAAGGTTGTGTTTATATTGCAATATTTATGTATTTTAAGCAGCGATGAAAATTTCACTGAATATTTATAACACTAATCCATTAATAATTAAAGACTTTATAAAAGTCAATGTGATTTAAAGGTCAAGGTTATATTTTAATATTCAAAATGAAGTTCTTATCCAGGTGTGTTTAAGTACAATGAAGTGGCGGCATGGCCGAGTGGTTAACGTGTCGGACTAGTAATTTAATGATCGCTAGCCGGATGGGTTCAAACCCCATCAACGGCAAGTCGTTGTTTCCTTGTGCAAGAAACTTTACACTCATTGCTCAGTACTGGTTGGTTCCAGGAATGGATTCGAAAGTGTGTCTATAAGCTTATAGCTTCCTGCAGAATTGAACTAAAATAAATTCTCAAGTAAATCAAAGGAAGGAGAGAATACCAATGAAGTTGCTATGATCAAGGTTAACACAACCCTACTGAAACCATAAGTAATTTGCATTTGCCACCAGTTTATGGCCAAGTTAGCCTTCATATCTATCCAGTTTGACCAGGCTCCAATACTAGACTTTGTCTGACAAAGTTTACATTTTCATATATTTTCATATCCCCCCAAAAAAATATAGACAGTTCCAAAAATAAAAGCTGGTCATGGACAAGTCCATTTAAGAAAGTATCGAACCTATCATGAGTCTGCAGGTCTCTGGGTTAAAGTGTGACCAGTTTCCATTCACCAACGCTTGTTGTAGTTCTAATGCTGATATACGCCCACTACGGTCTGCATCTACCGACATGAACCATTGTTGAATCTGTGGATCTATAGCTGGTGCGCCACCCCATCCTGTAATAAATCAAATCAGTACAGAAACATACCAAGAAAATGTAACATCTCATCCTATTGAAAATGATAAAAATCATAATCTAGAAAATTCTTACTAAATGAACTGCCAGGACCACAAAATAACAAACAACAAATGTATTATCTACTGTCTAATCTGTCTTAAAAGCTGTAGGTCAATAGACACAGTCTGCGAAATTAGCAGTTGTCCTATTGCTCGAGACAACCATTTTATGGTTCCGAACAACAAATTTTTAAAAGTTTACTTATGATGGACAAGTAATAATTTGCAGAAAGTGTTCATCAAAATGTCAACGAATAGTGATAAAATGCCAGATATCAAATACAATTAGTTTGCTTACATTTATGACTGTTTCTCACTGAAGATCAGTTTGCAGATTTGATCAATAATTGCTTGAAGATGTTCTGATGAAAATATTCGGGCAACCAGTTTTTACTTTGGACAACCAGATTTTCTTGAATTGGTTGCCCGAATGACAACCCTAATTTCACAGACTATAGATAGGTAATCTCTACTTCAACATGTTATAGGCCAATACTGTTAACTTTCTGTAATTGTTTATTTTACACTCTCTTTTGGCTTGTACTTTTTCATAGTAATACCCTCCCCACCAACTCTATTTGGAAAAATGACCAAACTTTTTTCCCTAAATTTTATACCAAAAAAAACCTGGACATCTTTTAAACCTACTATTGCTATAAAATGATTTAATTTATCAAAAATTGTACACCTCTTCTTTTCAAGACTTCATACCTTGTGGTGGTGCTCCATATGGCTGACCTCCAGCAGGTGCTCCATAGGGCACTTGGCCTGCAGGTGCTCCATAGGGTGCCTGACCCGGAGCTCCGTAAGGTGCCTGACCTGGGGCTCCATAACCTGAAATAAGGAGAGAGACTTTCTAATACAGTTTTCAGCTCTGCTCCATCCTCTTTAGTACAAGATTTTATTAATATTGTGTGTATATATGACTGTATTATACAGTATAACAGAAATAGTATATTGAAATATTAATAATAATGCTTATAAAAACTACAGAATGTCTTTAATCATCTATTTCCTTACATTTTCTTGTGGTTGTGAAAACAATTCCCACCTTTACACTGTGACTGTCACTTCATTTAACCATTTCAAGACTCAGCCTTTCCTAATGATTTGAATGTAAACTGTCTACTGACAGATAACCTATATGGTAACAATAGTTTTTGTTTTTTTAATCATGAAAGAAGAACACATGGCACACAAATGGTACCACCTTCAGAATCTAAGGTCCACAGATTTAATTTTAATAATTTTTAACCCAGCACACTCAATTTGTAGAGCTTGGTGTGAAATAGTTTTTTTAAGTCACAACTCTTTTGCATTAAGTCTTAGGAATGTGAATATCTGATAATCTCATACCTGGTTGCCCGCCAGGAGGAGCTCCATAACCAGGTTGTCCATAAGGAGGCTGAAAATATATGCAATCATTCAAATAAAAATGTAGCAAGTAGATGGCTCCAATCCATAAATAAATAACAAATTATTGCCAAATGCAGCAAAATTTACTGATATGACCTTAAGTGTTACGGTCAAGCTAAGGTTGATTAATTATTTTCTTTAATTATCCCTGTGATTTTTGTGCCCAAATATAAGATTATTCTGCATTCATAACTTACAAAGTTAATTAGTTATATCCATCTATAGCAAAAAAATGAAAAATTACAAAAATATCTGAGTCAAGGTCAAATTTTATTTGATCTTCTAACACATTGTCCTAAAAACAACAAAGTTATAGCCAATTCTAGCTAAACTCGACCAAAATTCAATTAAGTCTTGACCGTCAATGGTATTAATGAGTGAACGCCACAATCCATTTCGAAATACAAAAATATAATGGCCAATATTAAAGTTTTTGGACTGGAGTAATGGATCGCATGACTGTAGTGTAGCACTAGCTTGAATAATTTCATTGAAAAAGAAGAGCTTAAAAGCAGAGACTCACAATCCCTTGGTGGAGATTGATTGGCCATTCAAATTGATCGATTTCCGCCATCTTGTTTTAGTAACCAATTACATTTACGTTTTCATCATTACTGAGAATAATTCTAATCTTTTTAATCTTTATTGCTTTTTTTCTATATTTTTTAAACTTGACTCTTTTGTTACTACTTGTGTCAAACATGTGAACTTGCAGGATAATAAATCCCTGATACAGATTTTAAATGTATGACACAAGAGCTTCCTTTCTCCATTAGTCCTATAAGTTACTATAACATAATAAGACGTTTCCGTTAGTACTATATACACTCCAATGTCTTATTGACTTTTCCATTTTGAAGCGCTACATACAGTGTCGTAATTTACTACAAAAACAATATTTTGAGTCAAAAGATATGCAGACAATAAATTAAAACATCATTGCATATTAAAATGTGCAACAAAAAATTAAAGGGACATATATTTTGTCTATCAGGATTTGTATACAGGTAACATGGCCAAATGTATATAGCCGCTATTATTAGAGGTAAAAGTGGATTAGATTGTATTGTATTGGATATTCTTGCATTCAAAGGTGAGTCATTTATTTATTTTCTTGCATATTTATGCAAAAAGGTTTATATTTAATATTTCTGTGTATTATTAGTAAAAATATAGAATTATTATTGAGTAATAACAGTTTATGTAGGGCTTCAAAAACGCTGCGAGTTTTGCTAAAGAAACTTATGAAGGAGTCAATAAGATGTCAGTTGGAGTGTATGTAGTACTAACCAAAACGTCTTATGTTACAGGACTACCTCTCCATTTAAAAAGATACCAAGAACTACTGCTTTGCTCCTTAGCAATCCTTACCAGTGGTTAGTAGGACCCCTAAAACAAGGGCTGACAGTACAAGTATACAAGTTCTATGCATCTTTAAGCAATAAGATATAAATAACCAAGAATTTCTGGGATATAAAAGGAAGTCAGGCTTGCCTCTACCGTGTGGGTAGCAAGACACTTCACCCCTCAAATTTTGAAGACACTTCACCCCTTAAGACACTTCACCCCCCAAAATCAGTAAGACACTTCACCCCTCATCCAATTTTTTTCTGTAAAGTAAAGTTAGTCAACAACATAATGCTTATATATGTTTATATTAATTACTTTTAGTATTATTTGATTAAAAAGTTTGCTTAAAGCTTTATTTTTACTAAGTTTATAAAGCTAATTTAGGTTAATTGGTTGTATTGCCAAATGATATACAAAGCATTTTCATCCATTCAGTGTTTATTGCATGTCACCTTGTTTATTCAACATGTTGATTGGTTGTTTATTCAACAGTTATCTCATAATTGATTAGATAATTGAATTAAAATGGTATTATTGTATGAAAATTAAATTTATTTATAATATTGAATAAATGAATAAAATGAATATGAATGAATGAATCGTTGCTTTATAAAATATAGTAAACATAAATTATTTATCAACATTATCAGACACAATTATCCTGCATTTAATACAAAGATCATTCCTATTGTCATTTATTAAACAAATAAATAGCACTAGTTATGTAAATTAAGCAAAAATTTTGGCACAAATTGTCACCAAAACTTCAAAAATTAAATCAACTCAAATTTTATTAGACAATGGGTTATACTTAAAATTACTTGAAAGTCTTTGTATGAGTTTGTATTGTTATTACTAGTAAGTCTTATATTATTTTTGCCATACTTCATGTGTTTTCTTTGTAAATGGCCATTTAGCAATTGATTTGCTGATGATGCAAATAAACTTGAAGCTATTCTGCTGTTATGATTACTAAAATATATGAGCTAATTAAACAAAATTATTCAGTAATCAGGGAATTCCCCAGGATTTTTTTTAAGCGCTACATTTTTTTAATCAGACGGGGGTGGGTGCGGGAGGGGTTCTTGACCCCCATAGCGCGTGTCAAATTTTTTTGCCATTTTAGGTGTCAAGATACTGCTGTGGGCTGTTTTAAAACAAATAATGAAAGCTTTTCACTTGATTAACTTTTTCTTAATTTTTATTATTTACTTTTTCCATTTCCAACAATTCAAATAAATAAACAATTATATATAAACAAAAGTTCACAACATGTGATCAACATTTATATGTATGTGTATGTCCCATTTAAATGAGTATATTTCAGTTGTTTTTTCTTCATTAACATCATTAAAAGTGGGCCTGTCTTCTAGGTTTTGTTGTCCTTCCATGCCTTGACTGCCTTCTCAAAGTTGAAAGATTCTAATGGGGGTCCTTGAAGGGAGACGGCAAGAAGATAGTTTAGAACTTTTACAGAGAGACAATTCCTGTTTTCAGTAGGCAGCTCACTCACTCAGCCCGGAATCCTCCCTCACAATCTGAAATTAATAAATGAAAGTAATCATTTATGTTAACCGCATGTCTTTTATTTATATTGTTTGTTTGCTGTGAATTTTTGAAAATTTAAAACTTCCAGGCTGTTTAAACTTAACAAAGTAAAAAAAATTATATTTGAAATGTTGAAAAACTTCTAGCAAAGTGTTACACATCTGCAACTGTCATTGGAATTTCATTAATGTTCAAGAATGAATGCATTTAATAATAATTACCTGCAGTAGAGGTTGGGATGAGGAGATCCACAGAAGCAATTCTGTAAAGAGCTGGTAGAAAGGTTGCCAGTAATCCAGGTCATGGTCTGGTCGGCTGACTGATCAGTCCCCTCTAGACTGGCACGTACCTGGTGCCAGTGGCTGCAGCACTGCTCCATATCTACACCAAAGTGCCTGGCCAGCTCCTGTATGTCCTGACAAACCAATGCTAAGGGGTAGGACAGTAGATTGCACTTCACAAAGCTGTGCATGAACAGACTCGATTAAAGAGGGCCTGCAAAATTAATATTTTTTTCATTTTGGGGATTCAGTGAACAGAAACAGATTACAAGATATTTTTAATTAAAAAAGAAAATGACCAATTGGCTGTCACTAAGTGGGATTGTTAATGTAAAGTTTTTGTTGTTGTTTTCACTCAGTTGCAAGTTGATAATAATGAACAGTCGTAAATGTTTTCAATGTTAAAGTAGCCATCAACCAAATTTATTTCTGAATATCTATGCAGTTTAATCCAAGTAAAATACGATTATCTTGTATATATTAAAAATCAAAATGATCCTAAGACAGTTTCAACGACATTGCTCACAAAAAAAACTCTTAAAATTGATAGTGAACTAGGCTTCCCTTATTCATGTTAGACATATTATTTTTTGAAATCTTAATACTACAGTACTGCCTAGACGTAACGATCATAAGAAAGTGAAAGATGAAATTGAACATTACACTTATATCAAGACAATTAACCCATTCATCCCTAAATATCAAACTGTTATATCGCATGTCAATTAATGCCAATTATATTATCAAAATAATAAAAGTTATTACACCTACCTGAAACATGTAAATATCACACATGCCGCGGTAAAATTGCACCCATCTCAATACACGGTAATTGACAACATCTGAAAGTGCACCAACAGTCGTCTGCAGACATCGATGACAGGTGTCTGTGACGTCACACAGTCTAAAGGCAATCAGTGTATCGGGTTTTGTATACGCCTCGGGTAATTATCTACACAGGACATGTATATTGGCTTATTTATTTGGCTTATTGGAGTTAACTTATAGACACAATAGTAAGGAATATCGGTCATTTTTTAAAGCGCTATGATTTCTTGTTCTGAAAAAAGCGCCTGGGGAATTCCCTGGTAATATTAAGAGAATATGAACTACTTGAACTATTAATACATGATAATTAATACAATAGTCATAATTCATTACAGCTAATTAACAGTTTTGTATTCCTGTTTTTGCTTTCATTCCATTAAACAAGATACTCTTAATTAAAGACACAAAGTAAGTGTGAAAGAGATTATATACTTATTATATATATATATATATATCAAAGGAAAATTCACACAAAGGTTCACACTCTTCACTAGAAAGATTATTCAATTAGTTATATCACTTTTACTTGAATTGAAATTAGTATAAAAATTAGAAAAAAAATTACTTTATACTATCTGGAACATACGATATGTTATAGTACATCCCAGATACTATTAACTTTGAGATATGAGCTTTTTTGTAGGGCAAAACAACAATATATCCATTGTCTTTGGTCAGTTACATGATAAAATAATAATAATAAAATATGTTTAAACAATAAACATACTCAATCACTATTGAATGCATTTAACATTTTCTACATACATTTGTAAATAATTGTTAAACACAAAATAAAAAAATGAGGGGTGAAGTGTCTCAATCAAATTTCTAAAAATTAGGGGTGAACTGTCTGCAAAAAAGGGCATAGGATGAAGTGTCTGAGGGGTGAAGTGTCTGTAGCCTATACACACTGTGTGTATAGGCTAACCGTATATATGTGCCTCATGTATGGCTTGATCTTTTGGCTAACCACTTCCTAAAAAAATTATGTGGGACTTCAAATCAAAACACTGGTAGGGATGTCACTGAATGACGTCATAGCGGAATCCCCTTCTGGAATAATGTTTTTACTGATGATTTCAAGTATCGATACAACTGGTTGTTGTTGACCATTTCTTTCCTTATTATAATTTAATTAAACTGTGTTTATTGTAGTGATACATGTTTTACAATATTTTCAGATTATGTGCATTTCTAAACTAAACAATCCATAGCTGCAAAAATTGGACTATAGAACCAGGGTATTATAAAATATGAACACTTCCTGGTATTACCTGTCCGTAATTCGCCATATTTGCTTTTCAGTACTCTTAAACGAAATATATTTTTATCTATCATCTGCAAGCATGATAAATATTGAATTCAATTCATTAGGAATTAATAAGTATTATTAAAATTCTTATTTTAAGGGTATTTAAATTGAGTATATTCATTGATAATAGCAAACATATGTATTTGTAATATATATATTTCGTCTATTTAATTTCGTTTAATGCCACAGTTGACGGGATTCAGAGTCAACTCGTCCCCAACTCGTCCCCCCCCCCCCCCCCCCCAATAAATTATCATAGACTGTTAAAATAATACATTATAAAATTTCTGAATTTGACATATTTTGACGCTTTTTGTATGCGAATATTTGGAGGTTTTTTTTTGTTGTTAATTAAATATATCATGACACGTGCCTTTGGTTATTAAAGTAAACACATAGTAATTTGATAACAGGATTAAAGACACATTTGCCTCTGTGGTTGGATACGTATATACATATTAAAAGAACGCGTGTCTTTAATTAGAAATTATACAAATCGCGTGAAAATCGTGCCAAAGGTTGTTATAAAATTTTATTTTCCAAATGTCGACTTTGTTTTGATGGTGTATGGTCAAATATGTGAAAATGTTGAATTAAATACAATTAATACATTCAATATATTGACTTGTATTCTACAAGAAATTCTGGAACTCGGTTTTATACAGCTCCTCTTTGAGATCAATTTAAAGATTTATTTATGGAAATTTAATATTAATCTTTACTTATTATTAGATGGCAATTGAATATTTAGTAATTATTTTATGTTTTCAATTAGTTAATATCCACGGCAAATATCATTGTACGGATTTTTTATTTAAAAAAAATAATGAAAAAAAAAATACTAACTCTTTCAAAAGGCATGTATGTTTATACAACTCCTATGATAATGGACCATAATATTACAATGAAATTCAATTTTAAAAAAATCAGAAACAATTGACAATTTCACAACAAACAATTATCATGTTTTTAATTGACACGATCCTTCTATAATGAGATCAATACGCACCGACATAAAGTTTTTAGCACTTCCAATTTCTGTAAATCTGTCGTCAGTCTTTAATCCATTCAGGGAGGAGGTAAAAATCAAAGAGTTGGACCTAATTTTAGTTTTAATTATCAATTCAAATATTGAATTCAATTCATTAAGAATTAATAAGTATTATTAAAATTCTTATTTTAAGGGTATTTAAATTGAGTATATTCATTGATAATAGCAAACATATGTATTTGTAATATATATATTTCGTCTATTTAATTTCGTTTAATGACATAGTTGACGGGATTCAGAGTCAACTCGTCCCCAACTCGTCCCCCCCCCCCAATAAATTATCATAGACTGTTAAAATAATACATTATAAAATTTCTGAATTTGACATATTTTGACGCTTTTTGTATGCGAATATTTGGAGGTTTTTTTTGTTGTTAATTAAATATATCATGACACGTGCCTTTGGTTATTAAAGTAAACACATAGTAATTTGATAACAGGATTAAAGACACATTTGCCTCTGTGGTTGGATACGTATATACATATTAAAAGAACGCGTGTCTTTAATTAGAAATTATACAAATCGCGTGAAAATCGTGCCAAAGGTTGTTATAAAATTTTATTTTCCAAATGTCGACTTTGTTTTTGATGGTGTATGGTCAAATATGTGAAAATGTTGAATTAAATACAATTAATACATTCAATATATTGACTTGTATTCTACAAGAAATTCTGGAACTCGGTTTTATACAGCTCCTCTTTGAGATCAATTTAAAGATTTATTTATGGAAATTTAATATTAATCTTTACTTATTATTAGATGGCAATTGAATATTTAGTAATTATTTTATGTTTTCAATTAGTTAATATCCACGGCAAATATCATTGTACGGATTTTTTATTTAAAAAAAATAATGAAAAAAAAAATACTAACTCTTTCAAAAGGCATGTATGTTTATACAACTCCTATGATAATGGACCATAATATTACAATGAAATTCAATTTTAAAAAAATCAGAAACAATTGACAATTTCACAACAAACAATTATCATGTTTTTAATTGACACGATCCTTCTATAATGAGATCAATACGCACCGACATAAAGTTTTTAGCACTTCCAATTTCTGTAAATCTGTCGTCAGTCTTTAATCCATTCAGGGAGGAGGTAAAAATCAAAGAGTTGGACCTAATTTTAGTTTTAATTATCATTAAAACTCCGATTAATTAAACATTAATTGAATGTTTGCAAACTTACCTGTCTTTGTAATTTTACATCAAAGCTATGCACGTGGGTTAGATAAAGATCATTAAAATTTAACGTAAAAAAGACGTTATTTTATTAATATTTCGATATCAATCAAATTCATTATAAATTTTACATAAAAAGTACTATTTAAAGACATTGATTTACAACATAATAGTGACGAATAGATCGAACGTAGGGGACGAGTTGACCATATTAGGGACGAGTTGACTCTTTGAGGACGAGTTGACCAAAAGTAGGGGACGAGTTGACCAAAAAGGTGACGAGTTGACCAGAGGACGAGTTGACTAGGGGACGAGTTGACCGGATTGCGTTGACGGGTCTCACTAAAAGAAAATTGCGAATTTTGCGATTATTAAGAAGCGGCAAGGATTTTTTCTGCTTAGGCTCTTTTGTTTCAAAATGTTGCTCACTGTAACTCAAGTAAGCTGAAAATGACAAATTCTGTTTAATTCAGTCTGTACATCAGAGAAAATGGACAGTAAAATATCTGCCATGTTCCTTACAGTAGATAGAGTTATTCAATCCTCAATACTATTAAAAGGGGTGCCCGCTAAAAGTACTGGGAAGGACCAGCACTGATTTATAAAAAAATCGTCTTTATAATAATTGTGGAAACAAATTTTACTTGATATGTAATATAAATTAATCTGATGAATACATGTCACATGATGTGTATGTCAATTAAAATGTTTTTGCTTATATTTTTATACGCATTGACATAGTTGTGTTTTCTTGAAGGCCGTATTGTTAAAAAGACATATGTTGAACTTATTGTATTCCTTCATATGTTACAAGTTTTCATTATTATCATCATTTGACATATTTGTTTTTGCTTTGAGTTAAAAAATCGTAGTTTTGCTGCGTACGTTACATTGTACCCACAAAAACAGTGTAAAAGGTAATTCTATAGACTATATATTTTATATACAGTATATAGTTTTCCCCTAGAATTACTGTTTACACTATCCCAGCACTGTACCGGGACCCTGTGATTGTACTAGGTCATTTTGGATAGTACCATATCGATATCCCATTATGGTATATACTCAACATTACTAATTCCGAGTCATCACTTATTTCACGGTAATGGCATATTTTCATGTGACCAGTGTTAGAATTGGTCAGAATTGACATATTTTTTCGTACACATGAACAACAAAGAGTTTATGCAAAATATTTTTAAATCTTTAGATTTTCACGTAAAACAGAACAACATATTACAAATTTCTGCAAAAAGCAACAATAGTCCATTAAATTTGTGAATACGTTTGAAACAGTCATCATTTTCTAAATGTTCTTATTTGTTGAAAAATAGATTTTGAGATACAAAGTAAAAATATTTTTATTATTTAAAATTAAACAAAATAACATGTAGAAGTTTCAGCTGAAAAATGAAAAAACTTAAGTGTAAAACATTTACCGCGATTTAAATTATGACACGCAGTTTTCGAAATGACCGACATATTGTCTACGTCTGGACCATCAAAACTGATTTTGACTCAATAAATTGTTGATTCCTTGTGTCATACAGCAGAAAATCCCCATATGTTACAGCTTATAACAATTTTTGTACCATAAGTTTCATTTGTTATTTTCTTTTCTTGTTTCAAAGCGTTACTGTATATAGGGCTTACTGACAATTCACCCCCAGACAATTCATCGTCAGCCAGTTTTTCCAGACAACTCACGCACCAGACAGTTCACCCCGCATTATTGGAAAAATGACACAGACAATTCTACCCCCCCCCCATTTTTTTACTTTAATTTTGATGAAATTTACCTTAAAATTAGAAGATGCAATAAACAAATCTGTTGTGTTTCTTTACTTAATTAATATTTTTAAAATATAAAGTCATATTTAAATTAATTATTATAATTTATTACATAAAAATAATATTTGTTACTATGCGTTAATATTTTTACATATTATTTTACATACAAACCGTAGTAATTTCAAATTCACCATAAATTTGTCTTAATATGTTTAGGTGCTATTGATGTTATTATAAGATGACATATCAAAAATATTAACATGTAATAATCATTTGCTCTTTAATCCCTGTCATTGTGAAAGGAATTACAATACCATACACTACATTTTATTAATTTAACCCTGTCATTAATCCCTTTCACACTTTTTTCTCCTGAATTGATTATACAACAAGGTGTTAAGTGCTTCTGATGAAAGAGTGGATGTAATGTTACTAAGAATAAACAATATGTTTTTCATAGTACCGTGAACTAAGAGGAGCACAGTGTATATGGGAAATAAATGATAAACATTTGCACGAAAAAATCAATTATTTAATTTTCCATATGTCGCATTATTTACCAACTTAGAAGTTAAAATAGCGATAAACATTTAATGCTTATTCTCGAAATGAGATCATTCGTTCATTTCGCCAATTAAAAACTTTCCGGTGTGAAAATAAAATTTGCGACCCGACCAGTCTAATGTTGTTCGAAAAACCGGAAGTTTACCTGAATTAGTATTTCGATAAAGTTTTCAATTTCCTCAAAATATGTAGGGATTTTATGCTAGTTCTGTTTCAATTACAGGATTTTTACATGTAAACAAAAAGTTACATGGGGCTAGAGTTCATTTACACCAACTTTTAAGAAATACTTCTATGACTCACCTGTAATCAAGGTGTTCATTAAAAAAATTCTTGTTCTGGCGTTGAATAGGCTAATTTGTAAGAATGAACGGCTACAGTCTAGTTCAGTTGATTAAAACGGTTCTTCTTGGAGCGACGGCAGTGATTTCTGGGGGTTCACTTACTTTACCATTTTGGTACGAGTTTGAAATACAGGTAAATAATATCTGATGTTCTACCGCCCTCTATGTTAACTATCAGGTTAAAAGTGAAAAGGTGACCTATTGAGCCAGATCTTTTTAATGTGGAGATATTCCTTGTCCATTCCATGTATTTGAGTATCAAAAGGAAAGGGTAGTCAACATAATTAGATGATAGATTATACAGGGTTTTACGATAACTTAACTTCTTAAGTTGCAAAATCCTTGGTTAAGTTTTGTATGTAGCATCTGAATCTTCATAACTTAAACTATTGAAGGTATTCTCATAAAACTTAATAATTATGTCTTTGTTTGGATCATATTTGGAGGTTGCAATCTATGCCATAGACTCAAATCAGGGCCGGCAAAATAAATTGACTGTATTGCCTAGGTATGTTGTCCCACAGTCTGTTTCAAGAACAATCTGTGTAAATATCATACTGACAAGTTAAAAAATGCTTCACATAAAAAACGGACAAGTAAGTCAAAATCAGATTTTGCCGGCCCTGCAAATTGTGTCCCTAAAAAATTTTTGAATTTAGAATATTTTTGGTTAAGTTTTTTTTGCAACATGAATTTTTCATAAAACTGCTGATTGTAATAACACAGTTCCAGATAATTTTTTGACACTGGGGGTAATTACCCCCACTTTTAAGAATGTGGGGGTAAATTTAGATATATTGTAAATCTAAAGAGTACAATTAAATGACTTACTTTTTTTGCTGCATCACAGGTTTATTACATTAAAATTAACACACCATTCTCTGATATTCAGGCTTCAGGGTGAATTCACTTCAATTAAAAGGCCTTTACCATATTATTAACTTTACTTTACATTGTTTACTACAAAAATCGGTGAAAATGAATACATGAACAATAACGTTACAAATAATCATCTGTCAATTGCCGATTTCTGTACCTTCATTAGCCCATACATTGCCAGCTTTAAATTTATGACAAGTCAGACATTTCATTCGCACTTCAATACCAGTTTCTGAAATTTGCAGCCACGGATAACTTTATTGCCAATTTTCAAGTGTTGTATTGCGATTCACAGTTACGTGTGCCCTTTTCACTTTAAATACACTTTCTAAAATGTCTTCAACAATTGGGTTAACAATTGTTTTAGCAGGCAACTCGGTCGCGTTAAAAAATTGTCAATTTTCCTCTGCTTTGGCTTGGAAGCTGCCATGATTTAAGTCTTTATAAATAAACGCTAGCAATTATAAAAGGAAATCGAGCAACACATTTTACCAAGCGCCTATGCGATAAAGACATAATTTGACTGGTTTACAGAATGAAAAAGAGTGGGGAGTATTTTGGCGGGTATTAAACGGAAAAAAGAAACACAGTCAACTGTTAAACGAAACGGAATCAGCTGTTTCGAAAATGAAAGAACACACCAAATACACTTCGATTTTTCATTCTTTGCGTATTTAATTTATAGCATGCGTAAATGAACGCAAGAAATTTGAAATAAAGTGCTTATTTAGTTGATTTTGAAGCGTAAAAAACGCCAATACGCACATTATCTGGAACTCTGAATAACTTGAAACAAATGATTCATGCTCTTTGAATTACAATTAATGGTCACTTTCCTCGATAACACCCATAACCCTACAGATTTTGAATGAAATAAGGCCATATGTGAACCCAAAACATTCTCAACCTAAAAACTATTTGTATTTTTGTATACATTGCTTGCAATGTATACAGAGTTATAGCTGTATTTCAGATTTAGTACACCTAACGTGTTTTGCTGAACAACATCCACCTTTGGATGAAACCTCGATAAAAGTAGATCCTCATTTTGCAGGATTGTCACATTAAGATCACTTTTTATTAATATACTGTTTGCATAGTGGTCAATAAGCTTTGAAAGTTCAAAACTATGCACTTTCAGTTCAAATAAACATTTTCTAAACATGAAAGCGATAATTTGAAAATTTCTATTTCATTCATAAAAGCATTGTGTAAACCTACGCTTCAAACTTCGTATCGACGCATGCGCGTGCAAGAATGAATGAATTACAACGGACTCTGTATAAAAATATGTCCAACACCCAAAATTAATATATAATCTGTTTAATAAACCTTATTTACTTTTAAATATAGACTTGCATACTTTTTCTATTTCAAACTGTTTTAGAAAACGAGCATATACAGATATAGGGGGCCTATATGTCTTATTTAGTGTTATGTAACATTGTAAGCGTCTGTATGAATGGATTAAAGTTAACGTTCTGACGAATTGTCATATAATTGCATATAATAGAACCCTATCAACGTGGTGGCATCGGAGGAGTATGCAATTATTTGTTTCACACCTGCAGTGTGAAGTATTTCTGCCACTTTAGTGAAATATATCGTCCAAAAGCCATTTTCGGGAAGGGGAAGATTCGTACTCAATATTATTCGAACTAAGGATTTGTACTCAATATTATTCGAATTTAGCCTTCGTAATCGGTATTATTCGAACTGACAATCATGGCAGATATGTTTAGACCCCCTGGACATTTAGATGTTGAAATGGTAACATATCACATAACTTTATCAAATGGAAGCGCCAATGGAAATTTACTTTACCAGTGTTGACTGCCATTGGAAATGCTGAGAAAGATGAAAAGATACAAGTAAATATCCTATTACACTATGCTGGACCACAGGCGCTAGTAACATAATCAAATATTTTACATAATCGGTCTATATATGTATATAAAGATATATATAGACCGATTATGTAAAATATTTGATTATGTGACTAGCGCCTGTGTGCTGGACCTAAAGTTATCAATTTACATGGGCAAATGCAGAACATAAACTGAAAGTGAAAATTTTTTTTGACAAAATAGAAAGCTATTGCAATCCTAGAAAAAATGAAGTGCTAGAATCACACAGATTTTGGGTAACAAATCCAGATAATTATTCATCATTTGACAGTTTTCTTACAGAGTTTTGAAAGCATGTTGAGTCCAGAAATATATTTTGAAATATGTTATTTACAATCCAATCACTCAGTCAGGCTGAGCCACCCTTAACATTTTTTTACATAACTCCTTAGACTATTGATATATATATATAAGGTAAAATTATTAGCCATATATCATTTATTATAATGAGCTTATGATTGCATGGGCAGTTAAATTAAAGCCAGTAGTAAAAAAAGAGGGTTGACCTGGGATAACCAAAGTGAAGAGTGAAATATGATACTCAACACAGGTACATTCTAAATATTTAGATTGATGTTTATGATCAGATTTAGCACAAATAGTAATTTAATTTCCCCTGATACCACAAATATGATTTTATTTAGAGTCCTGAAGATCTTTTTATGATGAAATCTTAACTGAAAAACCAGGTTTAACTGAATAATTATAAAATTCCTTGCCACAATGATAACTAGAAGGTTCATAAAGCCAGTCAAAAAAAATATTTCTATCCATATTCATCATTCCTGGACCTCCATCCATTTGATGAATTTGTCCAACTGGTAAATTTTTCATCTTATTATGTTTTGTTTGTTAATATAAAATATTTTTATGTTTATATACAGCTAGAATAGTCTGTAATGGCTAAGATAGACAGATAAGAACAAACTTTTTAGTAAACATGAGTTACATCCCTTCAAATGGAGATAAAGATGAAACCCATAAGAAATTGCCATGTCTGACAGACAGCAAAATTATAAAATTCTGCAGGCTCAGTTTACTTAGGCCCATTAGGAGGTAGTGGTAATAACTGTGGGTCAAAAATGAAAAAATATCATTTTCAAGGATGTTTCTAATATGATTTACTTTAAATAATGGGTCATTATCAATGAATATTTCTTTGACTTCTATGCCCATGTGTAATAGATTATTGACATTGCCAGCAGCTAGATAGCTCAGCTGAGTGAGTCAGTACAGCCCACATACATGTATAATATTCTGATTCAGGTTTGATTCCGGTCAAACTGCACATATTTCTCACCCTGTGATATTTTCAACCTGTTACTTTTAGGGTTCAATATATGTTTATGATGGTTCATAACTGAGTCATAAGTCAATTCACTTTGTTACTTAAGTGTGCCAATGAAAAAGGAAAAATTTCAATATGCTGTGGATTATGTCAATGCATAGAACTATGAGACTGAAAATATTTAAGCTGTAGAGCTGCTGTATGGTATTCCAAGGGTTCTGGGTTTTTTGGTAGTTCTGAGGTATGGTATTCTGAGTGTCTCTGGTTTGAGTTTTAGTCAGGCTGCATTTCATTTTCTCACTCTTTGATATTGATAAATATTTTCAGCTCATTATTGGCTGGACTGCATATATTAATGATTTATTTGTTTTTTAAATCAATATTTTTTAAATATTTAGTTATTGTCTATATATATGCACGTGACTTTATTTTTGATAAGGCATTGTAACAGTAACTACTTCTTAATTTGACCTTTTTTTGTATTGGGGGAGAAGCCCTTAATTAACTCCTTACCAGTAAGTTTTATTGTACACGATGATGATAGCTTGAAAGGATTTAGCTAAAAAAAGATACTACATGAATTTTTTTTCCTATTGGATTGGTAAAATTTTATTGATTGTCAAAAAAACTATATGGAAGTTCTCCTCGTGACATTAAACAGTCCCCAGCTGGCCATACATGCAGGACCTTGCAGACCATGAGACAGGGTGGTCTGTACCAAGACATTGACAAATCCGATATCGAGAACATGGTGGACAGGACAGACAGTGATGTTCAGATCCCCCACTCAGAAAGGAAGTTCCTAAGTTCCTGGTCTTCAATTACTTCATTTGCTTACTTGGAGTAAAGGTGCTGGAAACAATAGTATGATATCACAAAAAAGCACAGACTGTGATAAAAGTCAAACCCAAAAAAGATACTATAAACTGAATTCATAGATTATATAAAAGAAATTTATTAATTTTTTTAAGTTTATAGTTAACAAAAAAAGATACAGAGTATTTAATTTTGATATATAGCATATTAACACACATAAAGTGGCATTATGCCATATAAATTTCAACTTAGTGCTTAAATACTTTCTGATGAACTCAGTAAGCAAACATGATTAACTAATCTTTGGATTCCCACACTCCTCTCCACCTAGCTCCAATGAGATCCACTTGGTTGACCATAACATGTACCATACCTCATATTGTTTGTTTACAGTTAGGAATGAAAAAATGAAAGTTTATTCTAGATATTATAAAGCTTAATTTTATTAAATTTCAAAAGGCTTTCAACACATCAACAATGTAATTGTCATTTTATTTTTTGAAAATGTGTTGGACTGCTGGTCTGATGCATGTAGATGCTGTGTTTGGCATATAGCGATTCCCCTTTTGTGTGTGTGTGTGTGTGTGCATGCATGCGTGCATGTGTGTGTGTTTTATACATTATATAGTTAACATCTTTTGAAAACATCTTGTCCAATTTCAACCAAACTTGACAGGGTTGTTCCATGAGTAAAGGGGCTTCCAAAGTTGTTCAAAGACTTAAATGAGGCCTAGAGCATAGATATTTTGCAAAAGGCATTGTCTGGTAGACATTCACATAATTTTCACATTATACCCTGGGTGTCAAAAATTAGCCCTGCACTAGGGTTCATAGATTTTCCTGATATGTATGTAGTTAAAACTTAAAATCTTCTCAAGACAAAGACTAGAGGTTAGATATTTGTCATGAAACATTTGGTAGTTAACCTCTACCAAGATTATTCACGTTACAGCCCAAGGGTCAAAATTAGCCTCACCCTGGGGTCATATATTAAGGTTTTCCTTATATTATGTATATAGCAAAAACTTTTTTAAAAATCTTTTTATCAGAAGGTTTAAGGCTTAGAACTTAGATACTTGGTAAATAATATCATAAGTACGTCCTTTACCAAAGTTGTTCAAATGTTGCCCCTAGTGAAATAGCACCAGGGTGTCATAGGTTTTCCTTAAATGTATAAACATGTATAGGAAAAAAAACTTAAAAAATATTCTCCTCTGGATTGACAAAGGCTAGATGTTTGATATTTGTCATGAAACCTTTACGTGTGTAATAAACCTCTATCACTATTGTTCAAATTATAGCCCTGGGGTCAAAATGGCTCTGCCAAGGAGTCTTTTTGGGTTTTCATTATATGGTATGTATATAGTAAAACTTTAAAAAAAAATCTTGTCTGAAGGTACAAGGTTTAACAGGCACCATGGTGTCTTTAGGATTTCCTTAAATGTATATACATGTATAGAAAAAAGACTTAAACAGTATTCCCCTCTGAATTGACAAAGACTAGAGGTAAGATATTTGGCATGAAGCATTGTGTAATCGAACCTCGTACCAAGATTGTTTTAATTTTAGCCCTGGGATAAAATTTGCCTTGTGGGAGGGTTGGGGGTGGGGGGAGTCATTAATTTTCGTAATGTACTTGTAGTAAAAATTTAAGAATGTACAAGGCTAGAGCTTAGGGCTTTGATGCCTAAATTTTGTCAAGTACAAATGCTTTTATTTTGAATCAATTATTGCACTATGGAGTGCATTTTTTCCAGTGAATGCGTTTTGCATTTAAACAAAAATGTTCACCTAACTTTCAAGTCTTGCTGAATGATTCAATACCACATTTTTGTAGACTACAAACCCACATGTTGGTCTTGTTTTTAAAGTAATAGATAAAAACACTGAAGACTCTATTTTACTATTTCAGCATTGTATACTGCAGATAATAAACCGGTCTTTGCAAACTGATTTCTGTATTGCTCTTCAATTTCGCAAACCATATAGTCTTGCCTTGAAAAAACACAGCACTAGTCTGTAGGAACAACACCTCTTTCCTGTCCTATTAATAACTTGAGAAGAAATAAGCCTAGATTTGTGTTCGAAATTGATTGTAACCAGAAGATGACTTCTATTGAGTTCAGTAGATTAAAATCACATGGTCTTGATGTCAAGCAATGTATACCTCAGTGCTTGCAGTGCTTTGATTATGAATGTAATAAAGATTCCTCTTTCTCAATTCTTACATTATCTAATTTTTACTATCAAGCACCAAGTATAGTCGAGCATGCTGTCCTATCAACAGCTCTTATTATTCACCCGGTAGAATAATATCAAGTCTGATGGATAAATCATATTTATCCAAACCATATGTATCATTTTTTGGTTTTTAAAATAGCTAAATTATGAAAAGTTTTAGGAGGTTTTTTTTTCCAAATTTATTTTATCTTCAGTTTTATACAACTAATAGCATTATGAATGTTTATCAAGCTGATGGATAAATTGGAGGACATTTTTTAATATAACAAAGATTTGTAACAGAGTTACCAACGTCCCCCGCCTCGGGAAGTTTTATATGAAGCATAAAATGGTGCTATTTCAAAAGATTGAGGTATGGATCTCAGGACTTTCAGTCCAAAATTATGATCAATGCTAGATCTGCAAATGCAACAATAAATTTATTAAAGAAATAAAATGAAACATGGAATTTAAAAATCTATCATTTTAAGATTTTGACCTCTAAGTGTGACCTTGACCTGGAGGTAGGGGTTCAGGTGTTGTGCATGATATATCGTCTTATTATTGTAACTTTTTGTTCCAAGTATTTTCAAAATCCCTTGAACTAAGTCTATGAAGAAGTTTTAGATAAGACACAAAATATACATATGTACCCTATAACAGACTATGTTAATCTTTGACCTCTAAGTGTGAACTTGGAGGTAGAGACTAGTGATGGAAATCGGATGAAATTTGTCCCAATCGATCATCGGTTAAGTCGGATGGGACATAATCGATAACTTTTTGAATAAAGTCGTGTTAAAAAGAAATAGGGAAGTATCATTTCTTCCCAATCTTCCCAATGCACTTGACTATATTCAGTAACATGAACTTCATTTTTCCACTTTTCAACATAGTTTTAACCTTATATAGACATAATTTTACGACATAGATTTTATTTTTCAATGGATGTCAAATAATAACATTAAAATCACATTATATTACTATTGATTACATTCACGTATTGATCCTGTTCAAATCCAAATTGTCTCTGAGATGATTTTTTGCGATCGGTGAGGTGTTCTTTAAAGAAAATTAAAGTCAGAATTAATTCCCTTTGATACTTTACTGCAGTAAGCATTTTTGACGACGTCGCGGAACAAATTTTTTGTAAATGGATTATTGTCGCTTTACATAACAGTAACTGATTATCGGCAACTTGCGACAATCGGAACATCACTAGTAGAGACACATGTGTTACGCATGGCATATCATCTTAAATAATGGGGACTATTTGTGCCAAGTATTTTCAAAATCCCTTGATCTATGAAAAAGTTATGTACGGGACACAAAATATACCAAATAACAGACTCTGTTAACCTTTGACATCCAAGTGTGACCTTGACCTTGGAGGTAGGGGTGCAAGTGTTGTTCTTGACATAATTATTGTCTTATTATTATGACTTTTTGTGCCTAGTTATTTCAAAATCTTGAAGACGTTCTAGATCAGACACTAAATATACCCTAAAACAGACTATGTTAATTTTTGACCTCTAAGTGTGACCTTGAACTTGGAGGTAGGGATGCAGGTGTTGTGCATGGCACATCATCTTATTTTAGTGACTATTTTTGGCAAGTATTTTCAAAATCCTTTGATCTATGAAAAAGTTATGGACTGAACACAAAATATACCCTGTAACAGACTATGTTAATCTTTGACCTCCAAGTGTGACCTTGACCTTGGAGATAGGTGACTGGTTGTTGCTTATGACACTTAGTCTCATTATTGTGAACAATTGTGGCAAGTCTTTACAAAATCCCTTCAAAGATATGAGAAAGTTATGGACAGGACACAACATATACCCTCAAATAGACAATGTTGACCTTGAATGAACAAGTGCGACCTTGACCCGGGAGGTAGGGGTGAGGTTAGTGCGCATGACACATCGTTTTAGTATAACAAACATTTGTGCCAAGTTATTTCAGATTCCTTTGATAAATGACAAAATTATAGACTGGACACGAAAGTGTGATGGACAGACGGACGTAGCCTATTTCTATTTCCCCCTTTTTTCTTCGAAGAGGTGGGGGACAAGAAATAAAACAAATTTGAAGTTTTTGAAATTGTAGGTTTCTTTGGGATTGAAAATACAGCATTTTTTATCTGCATAATTTTTTGATACATATCAAGATGATTCCATGCACAACTAAAATAATACATATCTATTGCTTCTGCAGACCCTACATTTACTTTTTTTTAGTTTTTTAACATTTGTTTTTGTTTTGTTATATTTATGAATAATGAGGTATATATTTACAGATATCATGGGATGGCGGTCGTACAATGCAGACAAAGAAGATGGATGTTGGATTATTTTACACAGACCAGGGCGACAACATCAACTTGATAGATAATATCATGATAGATAAAGCGAGTAATCTCAAGACATTCCCACGTAAGTCATTCTATTATAATATGCATTGTCTGATTGTCATGACATTCCTACGTAAGTCAATTCCGTACTCCGGAATATCAGAATATTTTGGGGTTTTCACAGCTAATCCTAGGGTCACAAATAAACTCTCACAGTTACAACTTCGAAATAAATGTGCAACAGGTTGACTAATCCATTGTGACCTGTTACGTGCGCTGGGAGTTATAACGGTAAAAGTTTGTTTGTACCGGGGGATTAACTTGGAAAAAAACACATTTGCCAATTCTGGATAACATGCATTATAATGTGCAATTAGGGGCAGCAATATTTTGTCTAGTGGTAAAGATATCTGTCTCTCTGTCCATAGATTTGAGCCCTGGGGTTCTAGGTAATTATCACAGCCTTGTTTCCTCTAAAGAAACCTGTATTTGTTTGGTTCCAGGAAGCTTTTATTACAAATCAGATAAAATAATGTTTGAATTTATTATATCATAAATGTATAGATAAAAATAAAATCCAACAATGTCCAACTGACATTATGTGCAAGTTGGCATCTCCAAAACTATACTGAAGGGAATAGATTGAAAGTTTACTCACTTGTTCTCTGTGATTATATCTTACATGATCGGCACTTGTCATATGACATTGAGTTATGTCCCTTTTCCTGCTGGACACTGGTACCATGACACTGAGTTAAGCCCCTTGACAGTAGGAACTGTCAATTACAGAGAATAATAAGTTAAGCGTGGTGTTTTCTGGACAGCTCTTGTTTATTTTTACTTTAGAGATCCTGTATGTTGTGATCAAAGTGGTAAACATGTATGTATGTAGTTAATGCTTAATGAGGGTCCATCCGCCCTTTCGGGCACAAAATGCAGCTTTCGCTGTCGAGTACGGACCCTGGACATGTCACCAGTCATGCCCTTTGAAGCACAAAGTGGTGATAATTTACCTCCATGCAATTTCCACGGAGTATTAGCCAAAGATATGAATTTTGAGCCAAAAGTAGGTCACTGTACGGTGGTCAATAAGAACCTAATGTGGTAAAAAACACTAAGTGAAATTATATATATATTTACATAATTATGCAAATAAAACAATTTTCAAACATCAGAGAATATGTAAAATATGTACTGCAAATATTTGTGCATATTATATGTATAAATCATTAAAATATATGCATTCATTTCTTATTGTAAAATTTGACTTAAACTTTATAGAAAATAGATTTTTTATTACCTCCCTTTATTTACATGAAATGTTAAATTCGGTAATATCTTTATCAATAATGCTTTTAGGAGCCCACAATATTGATAAATCTTAATTTGAGCATCATATTTATGATTTAAAACCATAAAAAATTGTGTTACAGGATTTTAATGAATGTACAATATTGAAATGTACTTTATACTTTTAAGTACTTTATAATTCTGATAAAAACTTTGTTTGAAATTATTTTGATTCACATCATTTTAACACTTAACCTGCTGACATTAAAAGTGATTAGCCACCAATTATCCAATATGTATTGTCATGCCAGTCTGCATACTGTGTATTATTTTGCCATCTGCAACCGGGCTTTATACAGTTGGTAGCTGAAATTTTCTTAAATTGTCAGCAGATTTAATAATTAAGGGTTAATTATTCCATGACTGCAAAGATTTAAGTTAATTATTATTTAACTACATGTATTTCATTTTTCTATTGCATTCCTTTAAGTATATACGTGGACGTTAAAATAAGCATATAAATTAATTTTATTATTATAACAATAATCTATAGACAATGAATATTGGTATTTTTCAGCCATGTTTCGCATTGCCCAGATATTCTTTGGTCTTGGTGATACGGCAGTGTTTGTGTTGTTCATTGCATCACTAATATATTTCTGTCGGAAGTACAAGTCGGCAACAGGAGAAATATGTCTAGCTGCAGGCCTTTTACCAGCATGTAAGTGAGAAATGTAATTTATATAGGTAACATTCCGTCAGATAAATCATAGTATACTTTTGAGTCTCCAGTTTTCCATTAGAGAACTTACCATTATTCAAATTATTTAGTGATCAGGAGCCTATAACCTTCAACCCCAATATTAACTGCAATCAGATGAAGATTAGTCTGGGTTTGATTCCCGCCAGGGACATTAGGACTCTTCTGTGTGAGGAAGCTATCCAACTAGTCAACAAAACATTGTTGGTTCTACTCAGGTGCCTGCTTATGCCTGAAATGATGCACAGAGGGACAGAACCTGAGGTCTACCTCTACCAGTAAAAGCTGGAAAGTCTTCAACTCTTCATATGACCTATACTGAGTTGGTGTGAGATAAAATCCAACCAAAAAAAGAAAAAAAGAAAGCAAGATATACCATGATTTCACATTATCCATTGCTATTTCTTTACCATTCTGTTTTTACTATAAGATTTAAATTACTGTCTCCTAGCTGGCAATGTGCATCTTTTGGATGCATACTTTTTCTGAGTAGGGAGTCCTGTCTGACAGGAATTTGGTAATAAATACCAAATTGTGTTCAAGTTATGTCAATCATATTCTAGGTCTGCAAATCTTCTACAGATAAGAAATAATAATGTGCAGATAGGCATGAAAATATTAAGGAAAATGAAGTTTTAATTAATCTCAAACTAAATTAATGTAAATAAACTTATTAAATTTATTTGACAGTTTTGAATAATTTCAGTATCAGAAGCATTGTAATTAATGTAGAAATCAAATTCATTTTTCTTCATTCCATTGTAAATATACCTTTCATATCACTAAAGCAATATTAAGCCTTGTAACTTGGATTTGTCGGCTAAATTTTGGGACTCGTAGATTTAGAGCCCAGCGAGTCCTAGGACCCACACTGATGAGTTTGTAAAAAAATCACCACTTAATATGATCTTTATCTTATTTCAGCTTTGAGTCTGGTACTTGGTGTAGTGTTTGCTGTCTTGGCTGGAATTGTGGAAGATAAAAGTGCCTGGAATGCGTTTCCAGTTCCTGACAACTTCATGCAAGTTAAAGCCGACCCGAAAATCAGTCTTGGTATTGGCCTCTATATTGCTGCTTTTTCTGCCGTTCTCAGTTTGGTTTCACTTGCCATTGCATGGCTTCAGGCTTGCATAATGTGTAAGCACGTGGAAGAGGTCCGATACCAGATGTTGAATGCACCGCTCACTGAGGACGAACGTGGTGTTGGTCCAGCACAAGTGTACAAGTTTGGTGGGCAAGGTAGAGGTTTCCGATACGATGGCTACAGCAAACCCGAGAAAGGCATGGAAGTGGATTTCTAAGACACAGACTGTTCATTTTTCTTGTTTTTTAAAAAGATTTTAAACTATTGTCACATATACACATTATGAGTTGTGAATGTGAATTTACCTTGATATGCTATAAAATACATATCACATTAATATGTACATTACTAATCACTATAGAAAATTAGAAGTTTTTATATTGGAGGCTATATACTGTACTTACCAAGAATTTGGAAGCTATATACTGTACATACCAAGAATTTCTGTATAACTGTATAAATGTCTTTCTATTAAAAACATTAAGCAAGATATTGAATACTTAGAGTGGGTTTTATAAGGGAAAAGGTGCATATATCTGGGAAGTAATAAACTTGATGTAAAGAAACATTCAATCATTAATGTTAAAATTGTTGAAGGTCAGGCAATTAAAAGGGAATACCTCTTAATTTTACTAGTTTTATTATTATATAGATATGATTTTTTTATTTCACAATTTTCTTTACTAAGTTGATGCATCAAATGCTGATTTTTTTCATACATTTTCTAGAATTTTTTTAACAAGTCATGTACTGTAGAATGCTTTAAATTTATGTTACAAATTGTTTTTTGGTTTTTTTTTTAGTCCAAAAAGTGAATCTTTCTTTTTTCGCTTATTCATACACTTAAATTACGCCATCATAGTACATGTATTTTAAATCAAAAGTGTTTCTGAATAAAAAAAGAAACTAGTAATATGGGGCTAACATATTTATTCATGAGAACTGAACATACAAAGAAATATATTTGCAAATATTAGCAAAATTTAATCTAGCATGAATAAAACAAGTTCTACAGTAATATCAGTTAATATGAATAAATAAAATACATTAATTTATGTTAAGGTTATCTTACTTTAACCCTTAAAGTGCTGAAACCGAAAGCATTAAGCCTTTGCCACCAGTATAGAGCCAGGCCAGCCTGCACATGCATGCAGTCTGACCAGGCTCTATACTGTTGGCTGACAAACGTTAAATATTCAAATTGAAAGCCCTAAAATTGATATTAAAATGGACAGTCCCAAAAATGGAAATGGGATAAGTCCATTCAAAATATTCAGCTTGTTAAGGGTTAAGATTATCAAATTGTACATGCACATGTACATAGAAAGTGCTTAGTTTTAAAAAAAAACAAACTTATATACAGTGAACTTTTAATGTACATAGAAATTGTATTTTTTATATTACTAGTGTAAAGTCATATTTTCATCATCACATATACCTTTCGTACATTACATCCTATACCCCATTAATTAAACATAATATAAACACACACACTGACAGGTATCATTTTATAATTGAGCAAAGGTCTCTAAGACAACGAGAGAGTAAAGATGTATTTATAAAGAAATATAAAGAAACAAGTAGATATACTAGTTACAAATGTCTGTTTCATGAAATTTTTATTTGACATCCAAGTCATAGTAATTGATGAGTGCTTTGGGTATGTTCGTTTTCCAGTAGCATTAGGTTGCTTGTTACGAATATTTGCTGCGTAGTGGGTGCTTGCTCTTGTGTTTTAATAAGTTACATTCAGAATGATTTTGATATTCTTATTACAGCAGAGGCATCCTATAATTGTTTATGTTAATAAATGACACAACATATTGGTTAGTCTGTTTGCTACTGGAATAGTATTTGCCGCTAAGTCAATATTATAGAAAATTATAATACTGGAATAATATTTGTAGATAAATCTGTATTATAAGAAATTGTGATACAGCTTATTATTATAATTTGATCAGTTATTTTGGCACTGTTTACTAAATATGATTAGGCATATAACATTCTACAAAGAAATGCTTTTTTAAAACAGCGCTTCTACGCAAATCCATTCCAAGGATTTAAATATTCTGATTTATTTTTATGCCCATGAATTATTTCAATAAGTAATCCTTAATTAAATTGTTATTTTTCAATATTTATTGACAACTTAAGACAACATACTTTCTGTTAAATACTGTACTTATATAGGATTTAAAAAAATGCTTATTATCCAGAAACTTAAGATAAAAAACATTAATTCTTAATTAGAAACCTTTTCAAACCTTGAAATATACTGTACATGCAGTTTTTATTACCATATTTATCATATCATTGTACAATAATCATTTTTATAAGGCACGGTAATTAATATTGTGTATCCTGAATCAGTAATAAAACTTGTAACAAAGTGAATATCTTCTTCTTTATGCCAAATGATCCTTAAATCCAAAGAAACAGCAGAGCTATGCAATTCATACCAGTATGGTGTCAAATCATTTTTTTAATTAATACATGTATATGAAAGTATTCACTCTCATTGTTGAAGGCCAGAATTAAATGGCTGTCATAATCTAAGAAAGACAAAAGTTTACAAAATATGTGATGTTGAAAATTTCTTGTCTAAGGTTTTTAAGTGTCTATTCCGTCTCCAAAATTACTGAAATAATTTGCTTAATTTTTCATACCTTTGAAGTCATGTGGGTCACTTGCCAAGAACCTTAACACCACTTAGTCCCTTTAAGAAATTTAACATGAAGAAACTTTAAATAAAACTCGGCTGAGGTAATGATGCTTTAATAGTTATCGTTGTTGACTTGAAAAATGTTAACAGTGCTATCTAATGCTATGATTGAACTTTAGGTTTGTAAGGGGAAGTGCTGAGTACAAAAACTATAATTCTACCTTGTTTTATGATAATGTTTGTCTGGAGAATAGGACTAAACTGCCAATAATGTCATTGAAATTTCGGACAGTTTTAGAGACACTTAATGCGAGAGGAAGTATAGTGTCAAAGAACCATAATTTAAAGGATCTGTATTTTGTATTCAGTTTTTCCCTGTAAATTTTAAAAGAAGTCTAAAATCATTTTGGCCTTTGGGCAAAAATTCCCGATATTAAAGCTTTGGAATCAAATGGTTTCCATAACTTTTATCTCAGTTCACAATTAGTCTGTAGCTTAAACCAAACTTGCACACTAGAGCATTTTTTTGCTTATGCAGACTGATAACCATATTAATGCATGACAGAGTTCAGGCCCCTTCAATTTAAAACCTGAAGTAAGTAAGTAATAGTAATACCAGAAAATCAGGGTCAGTAGTTTAACATGGTTTGATCCTTTGTGTGTTACAAAGGTATACAAATAAGGGTGGCGCGTTGGTTAGACCACTGGCTGTCAGTCCTGAGGTCCCGGGTTCAATCCTGGGTAACACCCTTGGGATTTTTCAGAGACACTTTAAGTGTTTCACACTCTAGAGGGGTACTGGTAAGAAATCCAGGTAATCCTTGCATGTGTCTGTGCTATACACTGGGCATGTAAAAGAACCAAGGGTTCTTTTCAATAAGAGCTAGGGACTGGTTCCCGGATTCCCTTGTATCTCATAGCTTTCTTCGAAGTGACTAGTCTAGAGTCATGTCTACGTCCCCGCGAGGGGTTTTACATAAATGGAAAATAGAAAGTTAGCAAATTTTCCACATTCTTTATTATTTAGTAAATTTTTACTAAATAAAAAAATTAAAATTGTTCCGGTCATGTGTGTTCCTCTCATACTATTTATTTTTGTTATTTTCTTTATTATTTGTTTTAAAATAAAACTTAAAAAGTCACCAGATGGCCTTAGTTACTGTCTTAAAGGACTGAGTTGTAGCTCCTTTATGCGCCGAAATTGAAGAGTGCTGGGTAAAAATCTTCTGAAAGCTCTAAAAATACAATGCTATTTGACATATTAGACTCTACATAATAATTATATTAAGATCTATAGTTTTTATTAGGTTTTACTTACATGCATATGATGATGGTGTACAGACAATATTGCGAACAAAGGGTGGCATATTAAAATCGAACCGTCCGTCTGTCTGTCTGTCAGTCTGTCCGTCCCACTTTATACATATAGACAGTGGTAGTCGTGTCCGTTCTGAAACTTCAGTATGCATGAAATGATTGTAATTTTTCTTTCATATATTAAATAACCATAGATGTATGGTGTGTCGTGAACAAGACTCGGGTTCCTACAACTAAGGTCAAGGTCACTGTGGGGGTTCAAGCTTTGTCATTTTTTATGTTATATAAATATAGAAGGTGGTGGTAATGTCGGCTCTGAAACTTCAGTATGCATGGAAGGATTGTAATTTTTCTTTCACATATGAAATAACCATAGATGTATGGTGTGTCGCGAACAAGACTCTGGTTTCTACGACTTAGGTCAAGGTCACTGTGGGGGTTCAAACTTTGTCAATTTTGATGTTAATATACATATAGGCAGAGATGGTCGTGTCTGCTCTGAAACTAATATGCATGAAAGGATTATATTTTTGATTTTACATATGAAATTATCATAAATGTATGATGTGTTGCCCTTAAGACCCGTGTTCCTACGCCTTAGTTCAAGGTCACTGCTGGAGTTTAAACTTTTTCAATATTTTTGTTTTATACATATAAAAGGTGGTTGTTGTGTCCGCTCTGTAACTTCCATATATACATGAAAGTTTCAATTTTTATTTCAAAATATAAAGTCACCATAGATGGACAATGATTTGTGAACAAGACACAGGTTTCTTTGTCTAACTTAAAGGTCACTGCTAGGGTTCAAACGTTGACAATTTTTACCATGTAATAGGTGGTTTATAACTAAAATCCTTCGAGGTCATTTGTCACTTTCTGTGACAGCCCTTGTTTGATATTTATAACTCAATTAATTAAATATTTATTTTAAAAATCATATTCACAGAGGGGACCATTGAAATTGATCTGAAACGACATCAATTCACCCGATGAGATTTACATAATGCAGGTTGGAAAACACGTTAACACAACATAATAAATATGATTTATTGGTTGTCTTTTTATTTAAGAAATAACATATCCCAAACAGTGATTTTATCGCTCAATAAAATCACTGTTTGGAGTTCGGATGGAGGAATTATATCACAAGGACGTAGCCCGAGTGATATCATGCGCATCCGAACGACAATTATTAATTATCTGTTCATTTGGATTACTATAAGGGGATTAATGCACATTCTTTCGTGCATTAACACCTTCAGAAGCATGAGGATACAGTTAAAGTCCGAGCACGTACATTGAGGGCTTCTGCAGATGTTAATGCACGATAAAATGTATTAATTAGCACTATTCTTGGATAAGAATAAACGTAAAATCGGTAACTCCTCGTTTCCTTGTCTTTATTTCGTACTAAGAAACCATAAATTGTGCGATGATTTTAACATGCTAGTGTATAAAGTGCTTCTATAAATAAAACAAGAACTGTCGGAGGACAGTAAAGCTCGACTATTCGAAAATTTGTCACAAGGGTTTTTCATTGAGTATAATAATGCTTACCTATATGAATACATAAAATTGTCCGAAAAGGTACAAACTCTTCAAGTTTCAATACATTCCCTTCAGTAGTTATGGAGATACAAGCTTACATACAAAAACTTAACCAAGATTTTCTAAGTCGAAAAAGGGGCATAATTATGAAATAAAACAATTCAGAGTTATGGGACTTGTACCAATCACCTTAGATAATCACAGAGACCAAGTGTGTGAAGTTTCAATCCATTCCCTTCAGTAGTTATGGAGATACCAGCTTACACGCAAAAACTTAACCAAAAATTTCTAAGTCGAAAAAGGGGCATAATTATGTTAAAAAGCAAATCCGAGTTATGGGACTTGTGCCAATCATCTAAGATAATCAGAGAGAACAAGTGTGTGAAGTTTCAATCCATTACCTTCAGTAGTTATGGAGATACCAGCTTACATGCAAAAACTTAACCAAGAATTTCTAAGTCAAAAAAGGGGCATAATTATGTAAAAAAGCAAATCAGAGTTATGGGACTTGTGCCAATTATCTTAGATAATCACAGAGAACAAGTGTGTGAAGTTTCAATCCATTCCCTTCAGTAGTTATGGAGATACCAGCTTACATACAAAAACTTAACCAAGAATTTCTAAGTCGAAAAAGGGGCATAATTATGAAAAAAAGCAAATCAGAGTTATGGGACTTGTGCCAATCATCTTAGATAATGACAGAGAACAAGTGTGTGAAGTTTCAATCCATTCCCTTCAGTAGTTATGGAGATACCAGCTTACATACAAAAACTTAACCAAGATTTTCAAAGTCGAAAAAGGGGCATAATTATGAAATAAAACAATTCAGAGTTATGGGACTTGTGCCAATCATCTTAGATAATCACAGAGAACAAGTGTGTGAAGTTTCAATCCATTCCCTTCAGTAGTTATGGAGATACCAGCTTACATACAAAAACTTAACCACAGGGACGCCGACGCCGACGCCGACAAATGGGTGACTGCATTAGCTCGATTATTCTGCGAATAGTCGAGCTAATGATAGAAAGATCACCCTCATCAGAATATTGTCAGAATCTAAGGAGTCAGATTCTCTTTTGAATTTCACGACAAGGCGCTGGGTAGATGCAAGCAGAAAAAGGTCGATTTGAATGACATTTTAAGTGAATAATTAAATAAAATAATACTCCGAATTCTTCGCGTAATAATGAGGTATGGTCCAAAATGGTTCACATATATCCGACAGCGCTCCATACATTTTGGATCGATTGATAAAATCACGTGAAACGTTTACAAAATGTCACATGATCAACAAATACAGACGTGATAAAGGAGGGAAATCATTATAAGGTGAGTAAGATTTATGCATAAATCAGTAAACTACGAGTATAATCCGTCGTCCTCTTGAGATCTAAAGATGGGTATTAATCATATTATGATCTATCTGAATATCTGACAGTTAAAGCCATGAACTTACCAATGAACTGCATGGAGATTAATTTCGAAATTGTAACTATATTTTCAAAATAATGTAGTATAATAAGGGGTTTAAACTTTACTTATTTATGTTATCTACAATGTATACAATATCAAAATAATGATACGCAAGAGATCAGATAAAGTTAAATATAAAATAAACTAATCATAAATTTTGATTGTAGAACAATGTAATATTATACTTACAGTACAGTTGTAAGATACTGATAAATTATTGATACCTAATTAAATTTGACTTTGAAATGATAAAAGGTTTTAAAAAGCAATATCACATTCTTCTTCGTATTAGAAAAATAAAAATAAAAAATATTTTAAAATAAAATAGTATTATATTATAGTAATTAATTTATGTTGTGTTTCATGTAAAGGGGTTCTCATGGTGCTTTGATAATGTACGTCTGCCAGTTTTGGTAAAACTTACGTTCCAAATCACCAAGACATTTTATTTGTAAGGATATTCGATGGTTTTGCGTCTTTTGTCAGGGTTTTTTTTCTAATGCGGACAGAAGAGTGAACAAACAATAAAACAAATAATAATATAATTAATCATAGCAGAGAAGTGAAAAAAGAGGAAGATGAACCAATGAAGTTTTCAGCTTTACTGCTGTAACAAATGTAGATAGATTACAAGTGTTTCTATTAACACAACACATTAGAGTCTGAACAGCTACATGTGTTGAACTAGGAAACCTACATTGTAATTATTACTGATATACATGTGCCTTTCATGTTTAAAAAAATAACATTAAAAATATAATGAAACTCATCTCCTATTTCTTGTTCGCTACAAAGTGATCAAGTCCTATATCAAAACAGTGACCTTTCTCTATAGGAAGGTCAGAATTAATTAAGACACCTAAATTTACAAAGAGTAAACAAACATAGGCCACCAAGACACCAGCCTCTAGTACAGGTCTCATGCTTATTTGGGCACATTTATGACACATTTGAATAAAAATGAAAGATCAATATTATCTCAGTTTAGGTTTGGCATTCTCCCGTTAAGGATTGAAACTGGACGTTATATCAGTGAAACACCAGAGCAGAGAATTTGTTTGTTTTGTACCGATAACAAAATAGAAGATAAAAAGCACTTTTTAGTCCAATGTCCCTTTTACAACAATATCAGAGTAGACATTTTTATTGAACAATTTATGAATGCAGATTTATTCAACATGAACAATGAAATGAAAATGAAATATCTTGTTGTAAGTTTTCCACGAAAAGTAGCTAAATACCTTGTTAATGCTTATTTTAAAAGAAAGAAATCCTTGTTTAATCGTTGAAATATATATTATATTATTATAATGTTGATGATGTGTACAGTATAATAATTTCATGTGAACTATTTATGATGTATATATGTTTCAGGTGACTTATTGGTCCATTGGGCCAGGTATTATGTTAAATTATTTAATTTCGTTATTAATTTTGTAAACTGTCATACACATGTCACTATAATAAAATATCTACTTACTTACTGACAGTATTGACCAAAATACAATATAAAAGCACCGTGAAAAACCACTTAGGTTTTCAGCACAGGATGAAGAAATTGGTGCAACTCTCTTTAACTACGCTTATTGCACTGGCAGTCGTCAACAGCGAGTGCAACTTCCCCTCAAGTCTCTGGTGCTCTTCAACAGAGATCGCCAAAGCATGTGGAGTAAGTTAAAAAAAGTATATACATTGTATTTGAAAGTAGCCTTTGCGCATATTGTCTATGTATGTTAATTTAAGGCACTCTTCTATACTTTTGATTGAAATGAAACCTTAATCTTGACATCGCAAATTATTGTTATGTGTAATTTTATTATGTCTTAATTATACTATACCAAAATTGAATTAGCGTATGTACATACAGAATGTAATACAGGGAAAACAAACCTTAGCTTTTATTTCAGGCAAAAATTTAAATGGTTAGGAGTGCGTCTGCAGGAATTGAATAAATGTGCAAAAAATGATATTTTATAATAATAGTACATAACTGATATTCATCAAAGAATTATGTCATTATATGAGAAGCATATTTGATTTATGTAATGTTATTACACTACAGTCTGCATTTTTTCAAATTGTTGTATGCTGAATAAGATAATATAGATGAAGTGTAAACTCACAGAAATCACAACTTTCTTCATATTTCGTCTTATCCAAAGTTTGACGGAAAAGGTCGGATGTTTCAAGAAAGTTGAATATCTAATATAGCATATACTGATATTATACTGTGATGAAATTAATGTTAATGTTATAAAACATTGCTATATCTTAGCCATAATTTCCATTACGTAGGTGCATGAGCAGTGTAAAGAAGAGTTTAAAACCGACCCGTCAGCTGGCCCTGTCAACCTGACCTTGTATTACGAATTCTTGTGCCCTGCATGTAGGAACTTCATTCAAGAACAATTGTATCAAACTTGGCGTGAACTTGGAAATCATGTCCTTAATTTAACACTGGTGCCATACGGGAACGCGCATGTAAGTTTTTTTTTTATATAGTGTGTATCCCACATTTAAATAAAGAATAATGAGCGACATTGAAATTCCTTTTTTGACAGCGCTATAAAATTCCATTAAACAACGTTATTGAAACCATATAAAACTTTCAGCTTATTTTCAGCCATTCCTACCATTTACACCAGGGGTTACATATACATTTGTTCATTGCTAGAAATTGTTTACATGTATATGATACGAAGCTTAAATTTACAGTACAGTACCTTTCACTGGTCAGAATTATGCATTGAAAATTTTGTTTTGATTGTTAGTTTTCCATTGTTAAAATAATCGCAGGAATATGCTGTCTGTATTGAGTTTGTTTTATTTTAGGAAAAGAAAGACATATTTACAAGAAAGTGGAAATTTGAGTGCCAGCATGGAACAGAAGAATGCATCGGGAATATCATTGAGGTTAGATAAGGCTCCTTTTAATTTATTACGTATAGGCATGAAGACAATATGTGCAGCATTGTCAAAATAAAAAACACACTCATGATGTTAGGTAGCATTATTTTGATTTGAATAAAAGAAGAAGAAAAACTAGTTGTATCTGACTTACACCTGTCAGGATTTTTTTAAATGTTCTTTTCTAGTCAAAGAGACTCAACAGAGGTTAAATTTCTTCTGACAGACGGGACTGGGAATAAATCTTTCAAGATAACTGTTCTATTTGATTAGGTTTAGACCAATAATAAACTTGTATGCAATATTTCATCCGGACGCGGACGCTTATTGCGGACGCTTTTTTAGAATATTTCTACTGTGAAAAATGGCCCGAAATTGTAAAGCGCTTTTCACACAGATTGTGCTTATAAGAAGTCGGCAATACGATTTTCAGTTTATTGCTGAGTATATTTATATAATTATTATCATTGCATATCTTTCTGTTTTAAGTGCCCAAGCTGATCTATGTCAGAAATTCAAATTTTATGTTTTTAAGGTTAATTGTGCACTTTAGTAGAGTTCCTTTAATTTTTGTATACTAGTATTACAAAGCTAAGCTTATATTGTACTCGTTTGAGCTAAACTTTATACTTAATTCTGATATAATATAACATAATTTATGGATCCCACAATTTATATCGATTCTTCCATAAACAGTTAAACACCATAAACAAGTATTAGCATTTTGAAAAATGCTAGGAATCGCCGTTCAGTCGGGTATACGAAGAAAATGTTTTGTTTTTTTTCTTCATGATATAGACTTTCTCCTGAAAAATGAAGTCACACTGGTTTTGAAAGATAGTATCTAAATTCTATATAGATAACCAAACAAAAACATGGCGGATTGCTTGCCCCGTAGGCGCCTCTTTTTGTGGTCCTTTGTCTTCCATTTTGTTATCATGTGGTATTAAATTTCTCTGTTGGACAGGCTATGTGCGGGAAGAAATGGTAAATCCTTTTTAAATTGTATATGTCCAAGAACGGCGATAGTAAGACAAATTTGCTGAAGATTCGGTGGTGGTAATTGTTAATCACCTGGTCATGTCTAAAATAATAATACAGGGTAGTGTTCCCGATGTCTCCTTAACTAAACCAATAAACATTCATAGCCACATATATCTGTCAATATGACTTTAAGAACTGATTAAATGAAATATACTTTTCCAGACTTGTGCCATAAACATTATTGATGACATCAATGTATATTTTCCATTCATAAAATGTATGGAAGCGAAAGATACAATGCCGGATAAAGCAGCAGAGAAGGTATATGTAAATTCTTTTTATTAGCTCGACTTTTTTTTTTTTTTTTAAAGTAGAACTATTACAGTCATGTCGGCGTTACCAATGCCGTTGCGGTTGGCGTTGCCGTCCGCAAACTTTATGTTGATCATAACTTTTTAAGTTCCTGGTGTATTGTCTTCTTACTTGGCCACAATAACCCTTGGGAAAGTGCCTTTTAGTAGAGTAGACTAACATTGACCATCATCTTTAAAAGACCTTGACCTTTTAAGGTTAAATGTCTAAATTTTGCTCGTTTTTCGCTGATTTTTTATATTAGACTAAGTGGCTTTAACTTTGTTATTTTTGAATGTATTAATCATTAATTAATTGTCTTTTCAAAAACTAGTGTGACTAAACAGACCTTTAAAAATGAAAAAGGAAAACTTTACTTTTTTTCTTTATGGTTTGTTTTAACGGTTTATTTCTTTGCTTTTATAAAAAAAGTAAAAAGGTCGAGCGTTGCCCCCGCCCGGCGGTGGCTCTTGTTTCTTATTTGAAGTTATTTCACACTTATCTCTGGATCAAGGTGTATCATGCCTGTATAGCTCGAAGCTCAAAGAATAACAATTGCAGGCGGTACCCACGACAATCCTGCTCAATTTAGTCTGGTCAACTTCTACACCGTGTCATAATTCTAGCTTTTCCGTATCTAAATATTCTTAATTAACAATGGACAGTTAAACAATACAAGCAGAATAAGTCCACTATGCAAGTGAGCAGCAGGGAAGATGTAAGTCTAAGTTTGAAATAATTCCCACATGGCACTTGCCGTCTTCTACAGCATAAGTTAGAAAATTGTAAAATTTAAATCTTCTTCTTACTCACATTGAGGATCAATCTGAATTTCAAACTTTGCCAAAACTAATACTGACAAATGAAATATGAATTTGTGGCATTTACTTTATTTGCTTACAGTGCGCAAATGCTATGAAAATAGATTTAGCTCCAATTATGTCATGTGCAAACAGTGACAAGGGAAATTTGCTGGAACATGAGATGGCTTTGAAAACGGAAGCATTAAGACCAAACCAAACGTATGTTCCATGGATCACAATCAATGGGGTAAGAAATATATCAAAATTATAAAATTTTATAACTTTATTCATTATTCATCCAAAAGATCTTAGACATATGTGGCAAAACATATATGAATACAAATATGGCGATAAGGTAAAATGCATCACAAATACAAGTATCATGCCGTATCATATAATGCTTACAACTAGAAGAAAAAGGGGTGTCTGTGGCCGAGTGGTTAAGATCGTTGACTTCAAACCACTTGCCCCTCACCGCTGTGGTTTCGAATCCCAACAACGACTTTGGATTCTTTCATGTGAGGAAGCTATCCAGCTAGCTTACGGAACGTCGGTGGTTCTACTCAGGTGCCAGTTCGTGCCTGAAATAATGCACGGACGGGTACGTTAGGTCTTCCTCAACCAGTAAAGCTGGATAGTCACCAAATGACCTATACTGTGTCGGTGTGACTTAAAACCCAATCAAAAACAAAACAAACTAGAAGAAAATCTCGTACAAGTTATATGGTAAAATATTCGTTACGTCACTGGTTTAATTTGATTAGCCTTCGAGATGAATTTCATTCAAGTTATATTGAGAGTTTCATGGTGTCACTGTTTTTTTTATATTAAACATTACATACATGTTAAATTATGTAAATGATAAGTTTATAAAAAAAAAGCAAATGAGTTGGGCAACAAGTTCAAGCAACATTAGATTAAGCCCTTCCCAGATGTTTATTTTTTTAACCTTTTAACAAGCCCCAACAATAAAAGGATGACCCCATTTATTCTCCCCGTAAAAATGATCAGTATATGGATCGGGAAACCATCCCATACTGAAGATTTTAAAAGAGTGAGCTGTGGTCATACCCTAACTGGCCTCGTTTTCTTGAATAAAAAGGATGAAAAAAGACAGGTGATTGGGATCTTTTTTTTATACTTGATTAGTCTTTGAGTCTGTCGTTTTCATGTAAAATGTACTAGTATTTATTTGTGTTCGGTGCTCTCGAATGATCTCCCCGTTTTCAGAATTATATGTCCACAACTGCAGGTCAGAATTATATGTCCACAACTGCAGGTCAGAATTATATGTCCACAACTGCAGGTCAGAATTATATGCCCACAAGTTCACAACTGCAGCTGTGCCGTTTAGAAGGTGTAAACAGTTCTCCATTCCGCATTTCAGCGTTCTTAATATTTTCTGATTCCTTCAGATTAAGTAAATTACTTCTGAAGATTAAACAGATGCTTTGGAGATGCTTTGGTAGTTTAGCACGGAGGAAGATAGTCTAGTACTGGTGTAACTCTCCAAGAACGATGGTTAGGAAACTACCCGCCTATATGACTGAAATACTGTTGGAAAAAGGCGTAAAATGAAACAAACAAACAAACAAAATAACATAATATTATACTGTATATATAACACAATTTAAGAAAGAAATAATGCACAAAGAACATTTAAGTGTCTCTTTTGCATACATGTAACGTTTAACTAATGGTATAAGAAGTTCGATCTTATAGACATTTATAATACAAAAAGTTTAAATAAAATGCGTCATTTTAAAATTTATTGTCTGAATATGGAGTTTGTGGTACGTTTAGAAGGGCAAATCAGTTGTGATTTTGCAGATTTCACATTAACGCAATTGAAAATGATGCCTTTTAAAGTAAATAATGATGCCTGATACTATATTGATACTAAAAACTATTTGTTTATGGTGAGGAATATTTAGAGAAATAACAATGTAATAAGACTTGCAAATAGCAAATTTATCAATTTGTTAACGATATACAGCGAAGCACGTTTTTCACAATCATGGTCTTACCACAGAAGTATGAATACATTTTCTGTTTTAAAGGTTCATACAGAAAAGATGCAAGATATGGCACAAAAAGATTTACTGAGTCTGATTTGCGACACATACAAGGTACAATATTAAATGTTATTTCAATCTGCCTGAAAAATATAAGTTCGTGTGTTCTGGTCATAAGCGTTGTCTGACCAAACTGGCAGGGTTCGGGCGCAAACTGTTGTTTGGCTGTTGTCGATGCACTGCGCATGTCCTGTTCTTGGTGACCGCCACAAGAGAGACTGTACTTATGGTGAGGGGTTCGACTATAGTAAATCTGTGAGGTCACTGTAATCTAACCGTTGTTAGTTTTCGCGTTGTCTTATCTAACTAAGTACTGTGCTCATAGTTAGCGCCCGAGCCCTTCCGATACTACATGATTTGTTAAAATAATAGCAGTAAGAATCTGTTCCAAAAGTTCGTAAATGTTTTCGTGTTTACACGTGTAGACGAGATTTTCTCGTATATAAAAGTGATTTTGTGAAGGTTAAACGCCATTTAAACTGCGTTCAACAATATTTTTTATATATAGATTTGTACAGTTAAATGTGGTTCAAATAAATTATACAAGTACATTGCATTTAGTCTTAATAAATAATGTTAAATGACACCTGTTGATAAGGATATGGATATTGGATACTTGAAATTTCATTATTCAGTTTTTGAATCATCCACCTTTTGTTCTTTTTGAAAACAGGGAACTCCACCAAAAGTTTGTCATCGGCATATTCAAGAAAAGGACTTTGTCGAAAAAAGAGGGCATTGCTTGAAGTGACATATATTCCAGATTTTGCAAAAAAAAAATGAATCAAAAGATGAAATAGAAATAAAGAAGGAAAAATGATTTCAAAACATTAAAGTTAAGGAAAAATTTTAATAAAATATATATATCGTCTTTAAATAATTTAATTCTCGTTGTTGAAAGACTGTCTCCCGTAAATTGAGAATAATTTCCAGCAAAACAATTGTAAAGATTTTCTTAGGAAATACCAGTATAATAATATATCTCGAACGTTATTCATATTGTGAAACTAACAAGTTATTATTATAGTATCGCATGAAAGGAAAATTTAAAGAAAAAAAATCTGAAGAGAAGTCTGTTGTCCGTAATAAAAACTCATGACGTACCTTTGTCATTGCAGCAAAGCCTGTCTTGCCATATACTGGTTTCTGTTAACTTGTTTGAAATTATCTCGAAGTACAGTATATTGTGGCTTATATACATATAGACACTTGTTTATTTGTAGATTTGTTTTTTTCCTATGGCCTGTAGGCAATATGCAATTTTAAGTTCCATTTGTAATTATGGAACTAAAGAAGGGAGTCAAGCGGTTAAGTAACACTGTTTTTGCAATCGGGAGTTATTTTTAGACAGATTGAATTTCAGAATTGTCGTATAATGGCGGAAAAGGTTATACATGTATCAATTATAACTTTGATGATACACTGTAAAAAAAATAGTTAAAAAGTTTTAGTTAAAGAGATGAAGGATGTAGGCGCTGATTTTTTTTGCAAATATTGCTGCAAGGTAATGACCGGTGTCTGATAACCAGACATGATCAGGAAATAAAGGAAAAAAGTGCACGGAGGGTGATTTAGAGGGAAAGAATCATCTCAACTACCTCGCCTCTCCATCGTGAGCAAAATTGTGGGCCAGAATGTAGAAAAGAGAATATTTGTTGGACTACACGCGGACCTATTATACTCTAAGGAAATGCACAGACACTTGGGGTTTGGAGCTCAAAACGCCTTTAAAATCCAAATAAAATGCATATTTGTCAATCCCAGCAGATCATATATATCTAAAAAACCTAATATAAGCCGTTTTGAAAAAATTCATATTTCAACATCTATAATAATACACAAGATAAAAATGTTCGCCGGAAAAAAATCCGCACCCCTATCGTCATAATCACCATGTATTTTATTCCATTTCCAATATTTTCAAAATAATCCTTTAGTCCATCGACACAGAAGATATAATTCTTCACGTTGATGGTCAATTTTAAACTTCAACGGTAATATAAACAACGCGCAACAGCCGAAATAAACATCAAGATTATCGCCGTTTTCCCCCATTTACAAAATCTTTCGATAAATTCAATTTGTTCCCAAACTTAAATGCGCTGCGCATTTTGCACACGGCAAAGCTGGGGCCACGTTTGAATTTATCAAAAGATTTTGTAAATGGAGGAAAACGGCGATAATCTTGATGTTTATTTCGAATTATTTATTTTTTCAAAACGGCTTATATTAAGTTTTTATATATTTATATGATCAGTACATGTGCTGGGATTGACAAATATGCATATGGATTTTAAAGGCGTTTTGAGCTCCAACCCCCAAGTGTCTGTGAGGAAATGGTTCTCCGAGAGAAAATTAAAAAAAAATCAGAAACCAAATAAAACAAAATAAGATATTGCAGAATACTTTCCATTGCCTTTCTAGCCGAATTTCAATTAAATTGTAAATTATAATGTATAAAGAGATGTAAAACACAACGGATATTTGTGAAATCTTTTTAACGTACAATAATCATTATCCAGTAGAATGCATGATATATAATGTCACGCATGCATGGTAAACAACAGATCTATCTCTTTCGGAGGTACTGTCGCTAATATACTTCCGAGCAAGATAGTGCACGCACAGGTAAAATATTATCTTACATTCGATGTGGTGTATGAGTTGTGGGTGGTCACTCTAGATAACGGCAGTAAGCCACATTGAATTTACCACAGCACAGTTCACCTATCCCAGCATTCCTGGGAAAGCTGTCAAACAGTCAGTACTAGTTTCCTTCAATTTCGAAAAGAACTTAAACTTCTGAACGTGCCAGAGCAGAGGTACAGTGGGAAAAACCGTAGAAAGATTTCATGATCAATCACAACGAAAGTGACCTGCACCGTCCAAAAATCGAACCCGGGTCGCCCGATTCACAGTCCAACACTCTACCTAGGTATTATGAGCATGTCATCACGATGATTTGACAAGTTAACATACTGTTTGCACATGTCATCATGAAGTTTTGACAAGTTAGCATGGCATTTGCACAAGTCATCATTATACTTGGACAAGTTAACATGCTGTATGCACATGTCATAACGATAATTCGACAAATTAACATGCTGTTTACACATGTCATCATGGAATTTTGACATGTTAGCATGGTATTTGCACAAGTTATCATAATACTTTGACAAGTTAACAGTACGTTTTGACATGTCAGCATGATACAAGTTAACATGTCATTTGCACAAGTCATCACGATTCTTTGACAAGTTCACATGTTGTCTTCACAAATCATCATGGTAATTTGACATGTTAACATGCTGTTTGCACAAGTCATCATGATACTTTGACAAGTTAACATGCTGTTTGCACATGTCATCACGATAATTCGACAAGTTAACATGTCGTTTGCACAAAACATCATTATACTTTGACAAGTTAACATGTCGTTTGCACAAGTCATCATTACGTTTTGACAAGTTACCATGTCATTTGCACAAGTCATCATTATACTTTGACAAGTTAACATGTTGTTTGCACAAGTCATCACGATACTTTGACAAGTTAGCATGTTGTCTGCACATGTCATCATAATAATTTGACAAGTTAACATGATGTTTGTACAAATCAGCATGTTCCTTTGACAAGACATGATGTAAATTGCACATGTTAACACGCTCAAACGACAAAAAAATATCATCGTTTCACAAGATAACAAAAACATTGATTACATAAGACAGTCACGGCGTTCCATAGTGGGACATACACAAGTCATTGCAATGAATTCGAAATTACAAATTATTAGGCTATAAAATAATCCTTTTTAATTTACTTACCATTGTTTTCCGCAAAGTTTACCTTCAACAAAATGGCGGGCGCACATGTGTGTGTACATTCGGAATACTTCTATTTGATCCATACATAGACTTAGACTGTCAATAAGCAGTTAGCAGTAGGCAGTGAGCAGCAGGCTGTCCAGTTAGCAGTAGGCAGTGAGCAGTAGGCTGTCGTTTATGGAATTCCGTACTATACTGTATACCAGTTAATTTAACTATGAAAAACATACACATATGTACTTGGAGTAAAAATCCCCGTTGTGTACGACTACGATACCAACAATTAAAAACACCTGAGTTGGTAAGCTTGAAAATGTTTTTTAACTAAGTAAGAGATTATTAATATTGATAAATAATTTTCTATCAATTGAAGGCTTTTTTATGTACGGTCCTTCTATATGGTTGAAAATTGTCCTTTGAAAAGTTTATTTTTGTTTCCTTTTAAGGTCAAAATTTAAACTGCTCTTGGGACCATTTAAAACCTTCTTTTTTTTTACTTTTTTATGACACAGAATTCGGCTGTATGCCTAGCTGACCTCTACAAACATGATATGAATCATACCTATATTGGACAATGGTCACTTTTTGCAAAGCTATAAATAGGAAAACATATAAAATCTTCTTTTCTGAAGTGACATGTCATAGAGCTTAGATTTTAAGCATGTAGCGTTGCCTAATATTAAATAAATGTACATATTCCGTCCATTCAGGGGAGCACTGACAAAATCACATCTTATTTTTATTAAGGCTTTTATTTGAACAAACTTGGTAGACACCAACTATAATATGTTTCATATGTAATATCTAAACTCTAGATATTTGGGTTTTTTAAAAAAAGGTTTTTAAGTTTTTATTTTATACAAATAAGGAAAATCAATGACCCCCCCCTGACGTGGACCAATTTTGACCCCAGGGCTTTTATTTGAACAAACTTTGTAGACACTGACTAGATGATGTTTCATGCCAAATATCTAAGCTCTAGCTCTTTCGCTTTTCTTAAAGAAGTTTTTTCTTTTGGTTGCCATGGCAACCAGAGTTCTGCTTGGAATTCTTTGAACAATTTATGAAGTTGACTACCAAAGGAACATTCCTGTGAAGTTTGGATGAAATTGGCTTAGCTGTTTATGAGGAGATGTCGTTTAAAGTAAAAGTTTACGGATGGACGGACGTCAGATGAAAAAGCGATCAGAAAAGCTCACCATGTCACTTTGTGACAGGTGAGCTAAAAAGTAAATCATTGCAGTTTTGTTGAATAAAAGAAAGAACGCCTGTTTTGTGTAGTTCTTTTGTTGGTGTTTTAATGATAATTTCATTTGATTTGATAACAGTACAATTGCTATAATCATATATATATATTGCCTTTGACAAGGTCATAAAAATAAGTTTTCACAAAGCCTAGATTACAATAATATTAAATATGACTCATATGTATGTATATGTGTATATCACAGAATAATTTACTAAAATACAACATCATAAACCATGAATTCACCCTATCCAATCATAATGACAACCTTAATCCATTTAAATATTATTTTCCAAATTAAAACAATAGATCTTGTTTACAATATTTTCTAAATACATGTACAAAACAATTTTATTGCACAAAATTATTATATATCCTTATTTAACTCGGATATTAACCCTATTATAGATAACCAATTTGATTATTGTAACAGTAATACAGATGAAAAAAATTGAATCTCTTGGATGAGCAATAGGGGCACTTTGATTCAGGGTCAATGACCTTGACCACTTGGCTGTGGGGCGCCTCCTCATTAACACCCACAAGAAATTTTCTCATAAAAATGAATGAGTGGCTACAACAAAATAAACTTCAACATGGATAATTTCATAAAAAATAATCAATTATGTTGATAATTAAAGAATCACAACAATTTTTTAAAAAATCAAGTATATCATAAATAAAAATATTTAAACAATAAAAGATCTAATAAAATGATACATGCTTGTAAATTTGCTACATTAAATATGTTTAAACTAAACAGAATTATTTCAACAATACATATAAATAGATATCTTATAAATGAATAAGTAATTGGATCATTGCAGAATTTCAGAATAATCTAATAATAGACATCATTACAAACACCTAATACATGTATACAGACAATCAATATTCTTACCTAATTTTTTCTTATTCATTCCTAAAATAAAATTTAGAAAATAGATTACAAATATAAACAATGGCACTTCTTTGTGCACACTAAATCAAAAACACATTTAATATTT